ATAGTCTAATAATTGTCCAAACACGCTTAACTCTTGAACTAAATAGTCCAGAAAAACGTTTAAGGTGTCATTTCCAACTAAGTTGGGGATGCCAATTCATTTAGTAATACTTTAGGGTACGCCAGAACTCTGGGCTTTGCATGAAGTCAAGGTCAAGGTCAAAATTGACTAAAAAAATAGCAAGTTTTGAATGTTTACAAAAAGTTTTCCCATTTATTTGTCCCCCTATGTTCTCACATTTCTTTAGGAGTGGTTCCCCTGCATAGTCTCCATCGTAATCCCTGTCAGTTAGTTTATTTCACTAATTATAGCACCAAACCAGTAGTTGTCTTGTAACTGACCATATGCATATAGCATAGTCAGTGGGCAGCTAGGCAGTATACGGTACAAACCTCAATTCAAGTCAGAGAAACTGCTCCTTTCCGTTACTGCTCAATAATACTGGTAAGATGTTCTTTAAGTACTATTATTACTCTATCCCAATTGAAGATGTTGATCACTCTTACGGAAACGATGAGTTACGTAATTACTTTGTGTTTTATTTGGTTTAAGTAATTTAAATAATCGCTACAGAGTTTGAGGAACATGCCATAAAGCAAAGTAACGTTTCTGCTAACACTATACAAACATCACCTTGACCAGCAACCTGGAGTGCAGGCAGCATTCTTGAGGGATGGGAACTTCTGACAGTACTGAAAGAGATGGGGAATCCATCTCTAGAACAAAGTCAAGACATACTAGTCATTGGCACAAGCGACATATCATGGACATCCAATTGGCTGAAACGGGGAGAAGGATTGAGACCCTAGGTGAGCAGTACACAAAGTTTGTGACAGAAAGGCTAGAGCAGTGTACGACACCTAGCTGTCACACAAACACTTCATACGAACAAGTTGCCATTTTTCAGTCGGCAGCCGGCGAAGGTTATATATATGTTAAAACAGAAGGCACAGCTTGCAGCACTTAAGAGTGACTGTGGTCTCTTTTTGAGGATTTACATCTCGTGTCAGACAAGGGATGGAGATATGGACAATTTCTTCTCTCATGAAAACCAGGCAGTCCCACCAGCTTTGTTAACTGGAGGTAAATGCGGTTTGGAGTTAAAGCAGATCTACTTCGCTGCCTGGAATCAAATCTGCTCGAAAACAATAGTGCACCTGTGGCCCAAGCAATAATTATTGATGGTGAAGCTGTGGTTCAATTAAATGCTCAACCCTGGAACATCAAGAACATTTCAAGAGTATGGAGAAAAAGTGTTTGCCCCATACATCTTTGCTCAACTCGAGAAAAGCATCCACATCGACCTTGGCTATGGTGTATACTTACCTGCTAGCCTGAAAGCCTCAATAGGGCAGGAAAAGGGAAAGGGCACCAGGAAAAGGGTGGCTCCTTCCATTTTGCTGCCAGAAAGCTGGAAGGACTTCCTTCGATTCAATGAGAACAAAACCGAATTGTTTGATTTCATGTCATGCGAAGCCGTTTACCTTCCTCTACCACAGGGCAAGGAACTGTATAATATGCAACAGATGGAAGTGGAGTACTCTGCTCTCCTGCTGAGTCACACTTGGTAGGCCTTGTCCCATGGGTGTAAAAGGGTATCCATACGTATTGTTGGTACTGATGCGGTTGAACTGGCCCTGGCTTCATTCAGCAAGACAGCTCCTGATGCTAGCTGGGGATCGCTTTTGGTGTCAGATCAAGCTTTCGGTACAAGGCTTTTCATAAAATCATGATAGTTGCCACCATGAGTCTGACACAATGTATGACTCTTCCAATCTTTCATGCGTTCACCGGGTGTCACACTGTTTCTACATTCACAGGAAAAACTTAGAAGTCTTTCCCAGAGGTGAATGATTCCTTCAATGAACTCCTGTGCATGCCTAGGATCGATCGAGGTCAGTGAAGGATCAATGTTACTGCCAGAGCGATTTGTGGTGCTAATACGACCGAACCAGTGAGAGCATGATAGTCAATGATGCCAGGAAACAGCTCTTCGCACAGAAGTCTAGAAACCTGGAGAACTTTCCTCCATCCCAGGCAGCACTCAAGCAGCACCTCAAGCGCACTTGCTACCAGGCCAACTGTTGAAACCAGATATTGGCCAAGAATCCAGAGATGCAGAGCCATCTGACTTGGGCTGGACAAACGAAACAACTGGGTGGCAGCCTCTTTGGACCACTCTCCCGGAAGCATAAAAGTTGTGGCATGAATAATCCACTGTCGCTGCAAGAAAAGATGCACTGGAATGTGATCTTGTTCTGGAGACTGTTAGATTTTGATCGTTACCATCATTAGGATATGCATAAGTTGTGGACAGTGCTAAATTCATGTAAATATCTATAGCTGTGGTTATGAACAGGTTTTAGGTCGTATTTGGAATAGCTTTTTTTGTCTTCTGGGCCCAATTTCATAAAGCTGCTAACCGGTAAGCAAATTTTCGTGCTATAACTGTAGCAGACAACTTTGGTTAGCAAGAAAACAAGGCGTCCACCTTGTATGTTCACAATGGATTGCATTGTTACAAAATTCATTTTCGTCCAGTAAGCAGCGTAAGGTTAATGCATTTTCGTGTGCTTACGGTTAGCAGTGCTTTGAAGTAGAAACTAATATGTAAGCACAGAACCAGCCGATAAGCAGCTCTATGAAATTTGGCCCTGGATAGTCAAAGTGGTGGTACACGGGTCTTTTTATTAATTTTTAAAATAATGAAACCTTAAGTGTCAAAATAGAGGCAATGTTTATTTTAAAAAAGAAAACAGCACTTTTTTGGCCTAATATGACCTTTAACTTGACCTCATTGCAAATCCCTGAGTTCTGGCGATCTCAATGTATTACGTAATGAATTTGCATCCCCAAGTTAGTTGGAAATGACACCTCAAACGTTTTTCTACACTTTTTTGTTCAAAAGTTACCACGTTTGTACATTAGACCATGCGGACTGGCGGCTATTTTGGATTTGACCTCTTAGGGTCATCAGAGGTCACATCAAACTGTTAGATAAACTAACTGAAAAGGATTAAGGTGGAGAACTCTGCAGGGGAACCATTCCTTAATAAATTTGAGAACATAGCTAGGGAGAACAAATGACAAATAATGGGGATTTAACCTTCTGTAACCATTTAAAACTTGCTATTTTTAGTCAATTTTGACCTCGACCTTGACATAAATGCCACACCCTGAGTTCTGGTGATCTCAAATGTACTACCAGATGAACTGGCATCCCCAATTTAGTTGGAAATGACACCTTAAATGTTTTTCTGGATTATTTGGTTCAAAAGTTACTGCGTTTATACATTAGCCCTTGCGGACTGGCAGCCATTTTGGATTTGACCTCTCAGGGTCATCAGAGGTCAAATCAAACTGAAATAGACTACCTGAAAAGGATTAAGGTGGAGGACTATGCAGGGGAACAATTCCTAAAGAAATTTGAGAACAAATGACAAATAAATGAGATTTAACCATTTGTAACCTTTCAAAACATGCTATTTTTAGTCAATTTTGACCTTGACCTTGACCTAAATGCAAAACCCTGAGTTCAGGCGATCTCAGAAGTATTACCAAATGAATTGGCATCCCCAAGTTAGTTGGAAATGACACCTTAAACGTTTCTCTGGACTATTTGGTTCAAAAGTTAAGCATGTTTGTACATTAGACCATGCGGCCTGGCGGCCATTTTGGATTTGACCTCTCAGGGTCATCAGAGGTCAAATCTGACTTCCCTCCACATCTGAAAATAAATCTTATGGTGAAAGCAAACTATGCTAGAAGTTTCATGCTTTTATCAAAAAGTGCACAATTTTCTTGCTAAGCCGCTGCACTATCAAGAAAACGTTGTTACATATTTATAATATCTTAATATAAAATGATAGTATAGACGGTAATTAGTTTTTAGTTTTTTTTTTTCGATTGCAACTAGGCGTTGTGGCGTGCGCCTGTAATCCAGCTAACAATGGAAGTTACAAACTGATTCAGCTGAGGACGCAGATTCAAAACTGAGTCACGTTTTTTGGATGGTGACGTTTAAAGGTCGGTCCCCAGAAGTAAATAATCATATCTGATTGATACACGTCTGTAAAAAACCCAATACACACCACACGCAATCACTAAAGTCAATTTGACAACTATTGGTCTTTATTTGCCAAGCCCTTTCGTTTTGAGAGAAGTTCTACATTAGTATTATCTTTCAAATACTGTTGGAATTAAACCTTTTCATATTTTGGGCCTGCTATTGGTACTTAGTACCTTAATGAGCCTTAAAAAGAGCAGATATAAATTTTGTAATGAATGAGTGAAAAACATGCATCATTTGTTTTATACAACAAAATTCCTACATCCTTGTTAGTTGATGTAAAAAGAATCAATATCAAGATTGTTTTTTTTGCATGTGTGTCATTACTGCTAAAATTTACTCTCTTTTTTAGTTATAGTGTCAAAATGCTGTCACACTAAGAATACCATATGACTGTAGAGAATGATATTATTCGGGACTCCATTGGAGAACAGTTGTATTATGTTAAAAACTGACATGGACTATACACCATATTTGTATCCAAAATGATATCATGTATTATTAACCGTATCAGACATCTGAGCAGGGCGATTATTAAATGTTATTGCCCTCAAGGTTTAATTGATAAACCAACAAAACTACGGTCAAAAAAATATTATTGACCGCTCAGAGAATGAAATGGCAAAATGTGTGCTAAACTAGTGGGCAATAATGTAGATTTTGTAATCTGCATTGCGTATCTATTACGTGTATGAGAAAATGCAAACTTTGCGCGCACTCTATTGTGAAGTAATAATCCCACCCAAGGCACACCGTTTGCAGTGTATCAAAAATTTTGTCAAGCACTGGATGCACAGTGCTGGTTTGACAATGTTTTTGCAACTTTTCATGCCAGGAAACCCTGTGCAGTATAGGCTATTATTCACTGCAAGGTAATTCAAACAAACAATTGTTTTAGAACTCCCTATTTTTCTCTTTGTGATCTTGGCAGTTGATAGGATTCCTCCCGTTTTAGTGTGCCCTGAAGGATTCTCGGAGCTCACTTCTCTGGGATTGAGTGGCTTGACAGTGACTTGGATCTCCGCCACAGCAACAGACAACTCTGGTGAAGTCATAGCTGTTACATCAGATCGCTCTTCACCATCTTTTTTGCCCATCGGAGAAACCCTTATTACTTACTCTGCAAGTGATGCCTCAGGAAATGTTGCAATGTGCTCATTTACTATTACTGTAATAGCAGGTAATGTATTATTTAAAGATCTGGGATGGTATTCTGAGAATTATTTCATGTCCTTACAAATGCATTACCGGTACTTCAATTTTCAAACAAGAATTTGCTGGGATTTTTTCAAAAATCGTGCCATCACAATCATTATTGTATGTATGAATTTAGCTGGCAAAAATCTTGAAATATAATTTGATATTCCTATAAGAGTTTTGCTTGAGAAAGGTGGTCAATAATCTGTATTCTTTGTTTATTTTGGACACACAACTAGCAGAATACTTGTTGAAATATGTTGCCCTTGTGGTAAAGATAAAAATAGCCTGTACGCTAAAGTTTTATATATAAAGTTTCATGTAAAGTAATGTGGGTGTTTAAATGTTAAAGCTAGGTGTATCATGTGTACAACTGTAATTTACATATATGCAAGGGGTATTGATTGAGGTACAACATTTAAGATTAAGTATGAGATAAAAGTGGTCTCAGAATACTGATTACTCCTTTAAAGATAAGATAGAATATATTAGTTATTTAAGATTGTAGATAATCCATCTAAACCGCCCCTTGATAATATTAAAGATTTCATAGATTCCAACCAACCATCTTACACAGAATCACCAATATTTAAAAAAAAAATCATCTGCTGAGAGCCAGGACAGCATTTATTCTTACAGTATAGTCTAGATCTAGAGTATAGATTTATTATGTATACAAATATATGAGTTCATGCCCTTACGACTATCAGGAGATTACTATCTGTTTAATTAATTTGGTATGAAATGCATGTTAGCCAAGTAACCGAGCATGAAAAGATAATATAATCTCTCTCCTCATCCAGATTGCTCATCAAGAAGTAGGTATGTGGTTTCAGTGAAAGCAATTTTCAGAAAATTTGGAGTTTTACCTATTTCTCATATGCTTGCATGTAATTGTAACCCAAACTACCAAACTACTTCATGATGAATAGATTTTAATTGTCTTGTGAAAGGCATTTTTATTCAAAAGGTAACCAGATTAACTTTGAAGCATGCTCAATATCATTGATTTTACATATTTTTGTGTATGTCTTCAAATTCACATTGTGATCATATGAGGTATTTTATAGGATGCTTTGTGTTTCTAAAAGCAATTAAGAAAAACAATGTTCTCAAGACCGGTAAAATATCTAAGCCTGATTTTGTAAGGAAAAAAGTTTTGTCCAAGGACCGTTAATTTCTTCCTTATTCTTGAATTAAAAGAAAATTTCTTCAAAAGATAATGACCTCTTTATAGGGTACTGGTGTGCATGTACATATATTCGTTCATGCTTGAGTAAGCATGACATGTAGTTTGAAAGCAAATATTTGTGTTTGTACAACAAATAAAGGGTCATAACAAGAATATTCACTATGAACATGACGGACAAAGAAAGCGGACAAAATATACAGTTCCTCAGGTAGACAAAGGAACATCCCTTCACTGCTATTATGTAAAAATGTGTAGAACAAGTGAATATGCATGTGACACCTGTTCTACACATTTTTACATAATAGCAGCTAGTGAAGGGATGTTCCCTTGTCTACCTGAGGAACTGTATATTTTGTCCGCTTTCTTTGTCCGTCATATTCATAGTGATTAGAACCCCATATCATTTCAATCACACTCTAGTGACTTATATGTTCAAGTGTTAGCTACATCACAACATCTCTATTCCAATTTCCATTTGTTTGTAGTGGACAACGAGTTGCCAGTCATCAGCAACTGCCCCCCATCACCGCTCAACACAGCCATTGACTTGGGTCAAACATCTGCTCAGGTTACTTGGCCAACTGTGGTGGCGACTGACAATTCGGGAGTAGTGAATATTCTCAGTAGATCGCATATCAGCGGGGATTCCTTTCCTGTAGGTGCGACTACTGTTACCATTGAGTTCGTAGACCCTTCCAGCAACACAGCCCAGTGTTTGTTTGTAGTCAATGTCATTCAGTGTAAGTTCTTTGAATTTTTATAATGATAACATATATATTCTTAGTGCATAGGAAAAACTTTAAAATAAACAATTTTGGTGAAAACACAGGACAATTAAGTCATAGGGAAAGAAATTTTCCCTCAAGAACTTATTTTGTTGTGTCAGAAAAATTTGTATATCAAAACATAGTATAGTATTCATGATATTGGAACAATGATGCACAGCAAATACACCCACTTATTACATTCACACATGCATTAATTGAACTACAATAGAACTGAGAATTTAGACTGAAATTGTACCTTTATGGCAATCCCTTGAATTTGATTGAGATGGCAATTCAATTTCTTTTTTTAAACAAGACATGAGAGAGTAAAAAACCTTGATTATATATGACAAATATAGATGCATATCTTCATTCTATATACATATTAACATATAAGTACCTTAACATTCATTATTTCCCTTGTTCAAGGATATTTCAACATTGGCCTATGGTCTCGGTGAAATATCACTCTGGAAATGTGAATTTGTTGGTTCGTATATTTCATTCAGCTAGTAAAAGGAGATATGAGAGCATCTTGCCTAACTTTAATAGGCAGCTTAACACTGCAAGTCTCAGAGAAGGACCATAAATTCAATTTCATTTTCAATGCAATACCGGTAACAGTTTATTAATCAGTTTAAACAATCAATACATGTTTTGTACAAATAAATTCACACAAACAGCAGCTAGTGATGGATAATTCATGTTTACATGTTATGTCGTAGTAGTATATAACATGTTAAAAAATATAAAACATTTTAAAACATTGTACAAAATAACAGACATACAAGTACATAAAAGGTAGATAAAAAGCATTCCAAGGTCATTTAGTAAGAAAAATAGATATTTCACATGATCTGCTTTAATCAACATTTTTTAAAGCATAAAATACTTGCACACATGTTTAATAAGAAATACTCATATTTTTTAAAGAATTTTCAAGAGTTCAACCAGAGAGAAAACGTTTACAATTGAGGAAAAAATATCCACATGGCCATGTTGGATAATTAAGCCCCCACTTGCTGGAGACATGCAAGTCTGATGATAATAATATTCAAATAAATCATCTATAGCAAGTATGAGGTAAATCCTATAGGAAAACCAGCTGACCTAGCTTTGTGAGAACATTTTCCCATTTAAAGTACATTGCAATAAGTAAGATCATTTCATTAGTTATAATTTTGTATACAGTAGTTAAACTCACTTGTAACTCACTTGATCCAGAATTATTCAGTCTTTATACTGTCACTTTACATACATGTAGTAGATAGTTGTCAAAGAGAATCAAAGAACACAAAAAGTGACCCTGTGACGTGTCAGAATATGCTAAAAGTTTAAATTGTCACAAAAGAAAGCATGAAAATATATTAAAACATTGTAAACTTGAACAAATGCATGAAGAAAAAATGTTCATGATGTATTTGGGATATTTTATGCAACCAGTCAACCAGTAGGATACAATTTTCACCAAGAAAGAGTCAACTACTTGTATTTCCATATGCTGGGCAAGTCCCTATTTGCTGAATACATGATTTTGATTTAATTTGGTTTATTTATTTCCGCTTCAATATAAACATATTTAAACATGTACAAAGTACATATGAATTATTGAAAATTTGTTGAAACAGATTTATTGTCTCTGCACTATGATAAAGATTATGTAAAAGACCAACAAGATACATGTAATGTTAGTAGGTAATCCAGATCTGTTTCCAAACTGGTAGGTATCTACATGGTTTTCAATGGGAAATGAATTGTCTGATAAAATAGCGTGGGAAAAACAGTAGCTAAATGATGATGATGGAGCATTCAGTATTTGTATAATAATTGCTTGAAAATACGATTTGATGTTATAGCTGATCCAGTCCCACCACTGATTACTGGATGTCCAGGAGACATCGAAAGGAGCATCTCTCTAGAAGCTACAGACATTGCTGTGTTCTGGACACCGCCAGCTACATCAGATAACTCTGGGCTGCTTCCAAGCATAATTAGTAACTTCTCCCCCGGGAATCGTTTTGCTCCAGGAGTGTGGAATGTCATCTACACCTCTACAGATGGAGCAGGAAATACTCAGCAGTGCCAGTTTCAAATAACTATTACAAGAAGTATGTACAAGTAGTACACAAATTTTTGTTTACAAAGTTTAAGATGGAGATGTTTCTGGCTAAACAGTCTATGCTTATATTATAATGATGATTTGTAAGCAAAAATATTACAAATGGGTATTATTATACGTTGCATATAAAAAAAAAGTTTTACCCAACTGTAGTAGATTATAATTATAAAGTCATTATTAATGTGACCTTGAAATCTATTTCATGGCAAAGAATGACTTGTTTTCTGTCTATTGATACCCTATTCATATTATAACTGCTACCGATGACTGAGCAACAGGGTTTAACAAAAATGCTATAAAAAACTCCTTATTTACCAAATGTGAGTCAGGCCATATGCATGCATTACTTAAATCCTTTTAAAAGTTAAATACTGCCTCATATTTCAGTGCTTCATTGTTTAAAGTGATCCAATGTATCTAACCTTTCACATGACCTTGTTTCAATCTTCACGATAACCTTAAATTATTCTAAACATCTTTATAACTTCTTGTTTCATAAGATCCAAAATCTCACTTCTGGCTTGTCTAATGCACCATTACAAATGTGTGTTTTTGCCTGGAACAGCACATAAAGAAATAGAGGCTTACTAACTTTGAGGATTCAGTAAATGCAAGAAAAAAGTCAAGATGATAACTACCAAAGATATTGATAACAGACTTACATGAAAATGATAGGTAGATAGCATCCATGCAAGTAAACTTTGTCCATGTTGAATGACCCAATGACAATGCTTACCTTAAACATGGGACGTGAGAATTGCCAAGGTTGTGTCACCATTAGGAGGATATCATAAATATGGCTTGTAAATGAGCCTTTCCTTGAATCTGAGTTAAACATTGCTACCTTTTCTATTATAATGCACAGAATCAATGCGTATAATAATATCAGCAATTATTTTTGGACTGAAATAACACTGGGTAAGGGCTTTTGCGCACATTTATTGCTCTAGCACAAACTTGGTACAAGAGTTATGTATAAGGTATCTTTAGACAGAATTTTAGATACTCTTCAAAGTAACATAATTCAAAGTCATAAAGGTTAACAATAATAATTATATTTGCTTATATAGTGCCTAACACTTACTTTATCAGAAGTCTCTATTAAAGCGATCTACAATAATGCAGCGTAATTACCCTGGCTTTAACAGTGGTTTTAACCTTTAAATTGGATCTGCCAAAGTTGGGTATCCTTCTTTTTTTTGGGGGGGGGGGGGCATGCACTGTATAATTGTGGATGTACAATAGATCCATGTGTAGCAATAATAGGGCATGTTGTGAGACACATTTAAAATAAGTGTAATTCGATAGTATGTTGGAATAGATATGTATAGGTTCATTGGAATTATCATGCTTGTATTAAACTCATACATAAATATTTCTATACAAAAATATTGCAACCTCTGTTATTTAAATGTAAACAATTAAGACCTTTATTACTGTTTCTTAATTTCCAGATAATTACAGCAGTTTATAGCATTATCCAATTAGATATTTAGGTAACTCTCAGCAATACACATCCCATTTTCTTGCACTGACAGCGGATAATATACCACCACAAGTGACTTGTCCTGCAAACATTCGGCAGACTGTGATAATAGGCTCAATTGGTACTTACGTAACCTGGGATCCTCCTGTTGTATCGGATAACTCGGGCACGGTGGAGTTTGTATCATCCTCCTCCAGTTCTGGTGACCTCTTTCCCATTGGAGTGACTCCAGTCACGTACACATATTCTGACTCCTCTGGCAACTCGAACAGTTGCACGTTCACAGTCACCATTACCACAGGTATCTACAATGTATATGTACAGCATTGAGTGTCAAAGAACCGTTTGAAATGCAGAGGGTAGATTAGAGGTGGTGTCGGCCAATTTTTGACCATCAAGTATACTAATGATTTCACTTATATATGTATGTACTCGGCTGGAGATATGTGTGAAATTTTATCTATGGAGTCAAAGAATATTTTATCCAGATAAATGATGATGGCCTGCAGATGGCTGCACTGATCCAGATACAATTTCACTCTTACCATTTGCTGCATATTTGAAAAATCTTCTTGTTAATTGAAAAACATGTATCGTCTGCAAATGGTAGGATCAATCTCCTTGTAGAAATATTTAAAATATATAAAAAGTTTTATTGCATTATACTCTAAGACGTGTAAAATTAATGAATGGAAGTTAATATGATATTTCTCAATAGAAAAGCAGAAATACTCGTACAGATATGTATACTGTATTTACTGCCTTGAGCATTTAACTTTTCAATAATATGGAATTAAATTTCCCCAAGTATATTTAGGATACGCAAACCAATCCATCACAACAAATGTTTTCAATCGATTTCTTCCTTTTTTGTATGTAAATGTATCGTTTTATCTTGATGTTTGTTGCCAAATGAATAAAAAATAAATACATATTTTTTTCCCCTCAGGTACCCCCTGCAACCAAAATCTCTGTCTTAATGGAGGCTTATGTGTACCAACAGATCTGACTAACTACCAGTGTATCTGCACAGAATGCTTTACAGGGACCAACTGTGAGACAAGTAAGTAGTCTAGCTTAATTTAGTATTTTCCTTGCCCAAGGGTTCATTCACATGCTTTTGAGTTCGAAAGGGTATCGGAATTAAGTATCTGTGTGCATCAATGGTCCTGTGGGCATTTGGTTATCCAGGTGTTATAAGATACAAAATGTGAGGCGCAGTATGCTTTAAAAAACCTATGGTAAACCGCCTCATTTTTCCAAGTCGTATGTGAAGAAGCATTAATGCTTGTCATTTGAATACCATTTTACAAATGCATTTTAAAGACAGTTGATAGCTCATCTCATGTTGTCATAAGATTGAATTGCTAGCTTCTTTTCTTCCATTCTCCACATTTTACAATATGTATGTTCAGTGTAGCTTACAATCTTTTTTTGAAATAGCCTTCAATAATTACTTCTCTCCTGTGAATGCAGTGCTTTATTTCAAATATTCTTTTCCTTCATATTATGAAAATCACATCATGTAAAAGCACTTATTTTACATTTAAAGGATATTGATATATGGATGTATCTTTTGGTTGACCAATTTTCACTCCCACTTCAGGGGGGGGGGGGACACAGAAATATAGGATTTCCATGTATAGCAGTCACCCTTTCTATTTGTACACTGTCGGCAGCAGGTCCTGTCCAAACCCTAAAAGGAGTGATACCAATAGCAAAAATGAACTAGACAATGAATTTGTCACGGAGACCAATTAGGTGATCTCCCAAGTCCCTGCATGTACTATATACGCGGGCCTAATACACATGCACAGGATCAATGCCAGATCATTGCAGTTCATCACGACCACTTGACTTGACCAAAATACAGGCAATATGTGCGTTCGTTCACAGAGCTGGCGAACAACAATATTATCAAAGTCGAGCAATAACAAAATGCATTTCAAAGTTGAAAACACAGAAACGATTAAGAGAGGGAAATGGAAAAATGAGTTGAAGAGAACAACACAGAATATTCCGGCCCGCGCAGGAAATACATAGATTAACGTACGTAAGTACAGTAAAGATATGGCGGCGGTCTGATCGATTATAAAATTATATATTGCGATTACAGTGTACAGACAAGTGTTTTTTTTCTTCAAATTTAGGAGACGGTATAAAAATCTTACACTAAGGCAACTCAACTTTAAAATAATTATCTTCATGATTATATATATTGTTTAAGTCTGGTAATATGATTTGGTGCCAAAACATGTTAATTATTACACTTTGACAATAGTGCTATATATGTGTTATGCTCTCAGATGGCATGTAAATTTTCGAACTGAGAGGGAGCTATACCAAATTTACCGGGAGTACCGGTAAAATTTTTTATTTTTTAAAATTTTAATTACTCCAAATCAAAAGCTTTTTAGAGCCCAATTTTTTTAGAGTTGGGTGTTCTAACACTATGTTTCACAAACGTAATGCAAATTTTAAATTTCATGATCCAATCCTGATGAAATATTCCCAAAACTTTGTATTACCTTTAACTCAATGGAAGATTTGGTCTTTCAAAAAAAATCCCACCTTCCATTCATATTACACTCATATGAACAAATTCAGTCCCCCATGGGGCCCCCATGGACATGGATGTGACCATAAGTTTACCCATGATGTCAAGTTCGTGCATACCAAATATCATTCATAAATGACTATCCATTACAGAAATATAACACAACATCAATAGGAGATAGCATGTACAAATAGAAACCAGAATGGCAGATTTTGCAGGTCTTCACCTTAAAATCAGAATTTTGACCACGATCCCCTCTTCTGATTGAATCAAGTACATTTGTAGAGTAATGTCTCAGCTAGAGCTTAAAGCAGGGCTCCCACTTAGCCGAGTTGGAGCCTTGAGTTGTGGCAAGCAGGTGCTAGCTTCAACTCGCGTAAGCTTGCGTGAACTCGCTTGAAATTTACTTATTTTTATGATATTTGCATGAGTGATCTACGACGCAAAATCTAGTTTCCTACGATAGATGTATGAGTAAACCGAGTGCGATACAAGTCACGTGAGCTCTGTTTGAGTGGCGATGACCTGTGTATGACTTGTACCTATCTACCAACAAGATATCAAGATCTTCTAACGAGTGATAAGAGTTTTCTACGAGTCAAATGCGATCAAGGGGTGGCGAGTTACAACGAGTCAGTGAAACTTTTGAACATGTTCAAAATTTTGGAACTTCTCATGACTTTGAGGAGAGTCGTTGAAAGTTGTAGCGAGCCATAGAGAGTTACAAGAAGAGCTTTTTCGCAAGTTTGTGCGAGTGCCTCTTTGAGGTAACTCACCACAACTCGCAATAACTCTCCAATATAACTTGGCTAAATGGGAGCCCTGCTTAATAAAACATGGGAGACATCAGGGTAAGAATAGACGAGATATATTCAAAACATCAATGGGAAATATTACCTAATCAAATCTAATTCACTTCAATTAAGTGGCACTATGTTGACAACAAAGCATTCTATTATTAACAGCTAACGTGATACATGAAATCACGTCTACAATTCATACCCTATCAGAACATGAAAGAAAAATTGGGGGTAACCACAAACCTGAAAATTACCTGTGAAAATCTGAAGAAAAAAAATTTATATGCAGGGGGGGGGGGGGGGGGATGGGGGTGGAGAGCCGCATATATGACCTTGCTTGAATGTCTCGTGCAAGGGGGGGAGGGGGGGGTGAGAGGTGCTGTGACTTGCGTGAACACCTTGCGCAAGCGCTCAGATTCATGAAAACCTATGTTTTTTACGCTCGCTATCACCCCTGTAACCTGTATAGCAAAGAGGTACTTTTTATATCACTTATGGTGATTTTTGAAGATCCGTGCATGCATCAATTTTGAGGTTCAACAAATGTCTGTGAGCTACATTTAGGTCAAGAATGGCTCAAAGTGATTTCAAATTGTTAAGTATAGTATCAGCAACACAATACAAGTGAAAAAATTAAATTCATACATTTACTATACGGACGGCACACGCAAAAGTGTGCGTATATGTGTACGCTCGCCAATTTCTTTTAATGTTTAAAAATGTTTGAAGCATGTAGTTAATTAGTCCAATAAGCATCGTGACTAATTTAAAAGTTTGATGGACGTGTACGCATCCACCATGAGGTGCGCACGGACATGGGTGTGACCAAAAGTTTACCCATGACGTCAAGTTTATGCATATCAAATATCATTCAGAAATGACAATGTATGACGGAAATATGATCAATAATAGAAATTAACAAAATGGCGCCTAGATGATTTCAATTCAGCATCAGTAATATAAAAAAAATCATTGTCATTAACCATGTCATTCAAGAGATATGAAGCAAACAAATCCATGCAGAAAGAATAGGGGAAAAAAGATACATTATGACAAAATCAATATGTGCTCTGCTACGCTAGGTGGCAGATCACCTAATTAAAATGATCATCATTGAAACTGTAAAGGAAAGCATTTCTTCATTTGTTTCGTTTGATCCATGTATAAAGTAGAAACCTCTTGTGTTTTAATGTAGATTGATACATTGTTGCAATATAACACACTACAGTAAACATGCTAAAAAAGAGCTGTAGTAATTACAGGGTTACATGTAAAGATGCAGGCCTACAACAGTAGAATTATCCCAATTGCAATGCAATACAATGTTGAGTAAAGTATAGTTCACTGAAATAATTTGTGAATCTTTGTAATGTACCATTCTACAGACCTCAATGCATGTACTAACAATCTTTGTGAGAACGGAGCAGTGTGTACGCCTGATCCAGGCTCATGTACAGATTACAGCTGCCAATGCTCTGGGTGCTTTACTGGAAGATTCTGTAATTTGCGTAAGTATATTCTATTCTCTGGCTTTTCTTGATTCATATGACAATCATTTCAACCCATTTAATAGGTACATGTATTTAATATGCTTTTCTTGTCATGATGGTAATGTATCTTATAGGCAAGTCATAGTATTTGTTCATTTTTTCCCTCCATATTATCAAATTCTGACAATACTTAGCACCAAAAGTATCATTATTAACTTTAATTCTTCTGTATAATCTATAAATCAAACATCGGAAATTGTTTTAATAGTAATAGTAATAATAAACTTTTAGTCCACTCCAAATTTTATTAAAACCGAAACGGAAATTCTTTTCTTTGTTTATATACGTGATACAAAATAGATACAGAGAATTTATATGATGAATAATATATTTTACATGTGTTGTTAACAATTTTTTTTTCATAAATACGATACAATGTTAACAATTAAAAGAAAAGAAAAAAGTGCAATATGAGGCACACAAAAGACAATCGTCTCTGTCATTTTATCGTTAGTGCTATAGCTATCATAAGAACATGTCCACTTACCCCAACTGAATAAAGATGAAATAACCACGGTTCAATATCCTTGATGTTTGGACTGCTCCAAGCTATAAGAGGGTTTTCAACTTCATACAACATGAGATATAATGAAATTTGTTATGCAGTTAGTTACATGTGGAACAAATTACTGTGGACTCCCCCTATATAAAACGTACCAATGGATATAGTTTTACAATTTCTCTTTCCTCTGTTATATTTCCAATTTGTCTTGACTAGCAATTGACTCTTGTGAGAACCATCAATGCCAGAATGGTGGATCTTGTACAGTTGATCCTCTGAACTGTGAGCTCTACACCTGTACCTGTCCTCTTTGTTTCACTGGCCAATTCTGTGAACAAGGTATTGTTTTGTTTTTTTGTTCTACAAGATTCTTTTGAAAACACAATGGCCTGTATTCTACTTATTTATTTGTTACCCCCTACTTTAGACTAAGCTTTAGCATGTATCATTTGTTTCATAAGAGGGGTCCATAATATGAGTATGAAATCGAGAAATTTACTACAAACTCGATCAAAAAGCTAAGAGTTGCACAATCATGGAGGCTGCCATTTGCTTTATTGACGGCACATCATGCATTGCACGGAGCTGGCCAAACAGTAGTACATGTACAATGCACGTCTCAATGTGTTTGCATTATCAATACTGAGGCTCTGCTAGTAGATGTGTGTATACAATAATAATATATATCTGTCTTTAAATTGAAAACAGAAAGCGAAGAGGGATGAAAGAAAGAGACAGTCAGTTTGATATAACTACCTGTATACGTTATAGTATTACTTTGTCAACACTTCTTCTTTCCTCTTTTATAATCATTTTTTGTTGTTGGTTCTTTTCCCCTTCTGTGTAATCAAATAGAGGTCAGTGCATGCACTTTCAACCTGTGTGCCAATGGGGCTAACTGCATCCCTGTCGGGCAACTCTGCACAGAGTATAAATGCTCCTGTCCAGGATGCTTTACTGGTGCATACTGTAATGAAGGTGAGATGAGACTGAAGGTCATTTTTACACTTCCAAGAAAAATACATGTTTCAAGGCTTGCTGGCATATGACACAGTAAACCTTTTCTTGTCTCTGACTTTGAAATAGAATAAGCTCAGTGAGCAGTGTACAATATAAAAAACATATTGGTGGTCTTTTTTTGATAAATTTGTGTATGATTGTTACGGCCCTCATGCCAGGAGAATGAATATAGAATATTTCATATATATATTTATCTTTTACTGTAAAGATGTCTTAAATGGATATTTACTTGATTACTAAATCTTTTCTCCACCCTTGCAGTGCGGGATGCTTGCTTTGAAAATCCATGCTTGAATGGGGGCGCTTGTTCTCCTTTGAATGACGGCAACTGCTTCTCATACACCTGTGAATGTACCGGCTGTAGCACTGGCTATAACTGTGAAATTGGTATGTGAACTTCTGTTAAATTGCAGTTTATATGGCAAGTTGAGTATATATATATATATATATATATATACATAAAGTACAGCTACGTCTCACGTTCCTAGACCATTTTCTTCACGCCTATATATATATATATATATATATACAGAATTTGTGCAAAAAAAATTAAAGTTATCAATGTTTTTAATAGTAGCAGTATCATCATCATTATCACCATTTTTATTATTATCATCATCATCATCGTCATTATTGTTAATATTATTATCGTAATCATTATTACTATTATCATGATAGTTATCATCACTGTCATCATTGTCAATTATTGATTCTCATGCAGCAATTCCGTCTCCCTGCACTGCCAATCCCTGTCAAAATGGAGGAAACTGTTTGCCTATTCAAGGACAGTGTGCAGCTTACCAGTGTCAATGCCCAGCTAACTTTGGTGGTCTCCACTGTGAAACAGGTAAATTACTTTGTTCTTTAATACTGTGCCAAAGTATTCTACTTTTTTGACATTTCACCCATTTGTGGAAGATGCTTATCGGTGCATTCGAATGTGAAGAGGATTAATTGAGTTCAAGTGTTTAGAGTTAGTGATTTTTTACAAAGTTGTAGATAATTGTGTTAATAATGAGGATGATATTTGGATTTTTATTAAAGTCTCTCCTGTTGCAGGACTCTTTTCTAACTCACGGTTTGTCGTAATACATGATCTTGAATCAAATTTTCAAGGCTTCACTGAATATCGTTTTCTAACTTCTAATCTCCTTTTGTGTTCTAATGCATAGTTGAGAGTGGTTGTGTATAAATGTAGCATTTAGAATGTTATATATTCTTCTTCTTCTTCTTCTTCTTCTTTTTCTTCTCCTTCTTCTGCCTCTTCTTTTTCTTCTCCTCCTTCTTTTTCTTCTCTTTCTTCTTTTTCTTCTCTTTCTTTTCTGCTTCTTCACCATATCACCTAAGTCCTTCAGAATTCTCACAAATTCCTATAAAAATCAATCTGTATCAAGATCAGTGGTGGCAAATACGGATGCCATTGCATGCATATCATTTTAACACGATTGCGGGGGTCTAGTTTTTATCATTATTATTTTCATCATTATTATTATTATTGGGCTTGTAACAAGCACTCACATAATCACATACTTTCTAGAACACGCTATTTGATATATGAAGTGTTAGCTAACATAATGGTACTTGACCCAGATGTTAACAAAATCAATGTAAATGGTCACTGAGAAGAGACTAACACAAAAAATTGTGCATAATTGTCCGCCCATGATTTTGGGCACTACCATAAAGGTTGACTCTATCTGAAAGTCTCATGTGGCCGGCTACAGTTCATCCCCCACCCACTAAAGGAACTGATGGTAACTAAGAGTACATATAAACTATTAAAATAAAGGGAGTAAATATATCAGATATATGTCATGACCAGTCTCTATAACAAGCACTTGTAATATTTTTTCAAGTGGTATATAGTACAGAAAAATGTTGCATTGCGTACTATTAAGCGAGTGAGTTTTTGAGATTTACTGGCTGGGAAAAAAAATTGTAGTGTCAATCCTACACTTCGTAGATTAGATAGCTTGTATCTATGAAATTACTCAAAACATGGTTACGTGAGTGATCGTTACAAACATTATTATTATTATTATTATTATTTTAATATCAATATATTTATCATTATAATTATCTTTACTATTATCATCATCATCATATTTTTCCAGTGGTGACAACCAATCCTAATCCCTGCAATAGCTTCCCTTGCCTAAATGGTGCAGAGTGCCTTACTATGGACAGCCAGTTCTACACCTGTCTCTGCCGTACTGGCTTTGCTGGTATCAACTGCAATCAACCCTCAGGTTAGCTCTCTGTACCTATACTTCCTTCATGTAGAACAAAATGTTGTTGTTTTCTTCTTTTTTCTGTTTGTATCTCACAGTGTTAAGTTACATGTACGTTCATTTCGTGACTGACACCTTTCTCATTTTTAAGGAGAAATCAACCCAAGAAATGTTGTAAATTTAGTTATATGAATTTCTAGTTCCATATCGAGCTTTGATCTTTCTCTGATCTAGACAACTTTTATTTTAAAATGCAACAGAAATATTGATAATTCAGTTTTTAGAAATTATAACTCAGCATTGGTTCTTATTATTTTAGTTGCATTGTTTTGTTAATTTTTTTTTTTAAATTCTTGTTTTTGTTCTCCTTTTGTTTAAATTATTGATGTTCTTGCACAACAAAGGATATATGATAGCCCAGGGCCCCGTCTCACAAAGAGTTGATATCAATCGCAACTATGTACATAAGAGATAGAAGACTGCAAACTTGCAATTGATTGGAGGACTAGCAATTGATTTGGATCAATTGCAACTCTTTGTAAGACAGGGCCCTGGACATACAAACAGGGCATAAACAAGAAAAAAAAAATTACTACATAATGATTATACTGTTTAATACCAATAATGATTTCACATGGGAACATTTAATATTTAGTATATAACATGTCTCTGCTTTGAATCTTTATGTGTCTTTTCAGTTGGCCAAAACATTGACCTCTGTCTCGACAATCCCTGTCAAAATGGAGCTACTTGTGTGGCCAGCTACCACAGCAGTCTTCCTAACTTCTACACGCCTCAGTATTACTGTATCTGTGCCATTGGCTTCACTGGAACTAATTGCCTGCGGCAGACAGGTATGGTATATTAACTCCTCAGTGATATCACTCTGTTTCACTCATGATTATTTGTGGAGTTGAAATTTACCTCCTGTTTGCGGAATTTAAAGATAAACTTGAGTTCTGGTAATGCGATTGCAATGTGAAAGAAAAGGTGTGGAATGGATCAGAAAAGTTGATCATATAGCATGTAAGTAATGGTGTGTAATGCAAGGTTCTGGAGTCATCAAAATCATCATAAATTTGGCAGAGTCTTGGTAAAGTAACAATCACTTACACAGAAAGATGTATATGGGACAACACACATGGTGTCGGGGCTAGTACTGCCCTGATTTCCTTATCTTTCTATACTCATTACTCAGCCAGTATACATTTTCTTCCAAAATTGTTTGGCACATGATATTTATTTGTAATCTTGAACATTAAGTGTAAGTTTCGTTTGATTCTGTGAGAATTCATTTTCTTTTTTTACCAGAACTCAAGTTTATCTTTAAAGAAAAAAAGTACAAAATGAGTTCTAAATATAACTCAAATTTGTGCTTATTGGGTACAAATTCACAAAAAGTACAGGGTCATCTTTGAAATATGTAACCTTTTTTGTGAAATATCCTGCTCTAAAAAAAAACATTCCCCTCTCTTTAAAATAACAAACACTGAAAAGTCTTTGGCATCGACACAAATTATCCCTTTTTGTGTTTACACAAAGTTAATTTGAAGTGATACCTATGGAATTAATTCTGTATTTAGTACAGACTGAAACCCCAGGCTGCTGTTTGGAGTACAAGGTCCATAATCATTGTGTACGTGTGACAAATAAGTCAACTGTGGTAGTCCGCTTTCTGTTCCATTAATAATAATAGTAATAATGGTGGCTTCTTATATAGCGCACATGTCCGTCACATTGTGACGCTCCTGGCGCTGCCCCTATTATTACCCTCGCTTTAGCAAGGCAGCCACTGCGGCGCTCTAGCATTTCAGGGAATTAATTCCTGCCAGGTACCCATTTACATCAAAACATTCAAAGAGTAAAGATATAGTCATTGATATTTTGATGAGCACGCAAATGGAATGTTGATATAACACTGTAAAAATCACTGTAAACACAAATTTGTGTACTATGATTTAAAAAATCAGTGATACTGGAAAGAAAAATGTATGTGGCATTGTAAGATCTTCATGTGTATTTAATACACATGAAGATAATATTAATAATATGATATGCTTGAAATATACATAATAATAATGATAGCCTAATAGTCCACTCCAAATTTTATTAAACCGAAACAGAAATTCTTTTTGCCCAATTGATCGTGAGCCCGGCAGCCACTGAGCAGCGCCAGATCGACGTTGCTATATCCCTTATTGTTGAACGCCAAACAAGGTAGCAACAACTCCCATCTTTTAACGTCTTTTGGTATGACGCGGCCGGGATTCGAACCCACGACCTCCCGGTTGTGAGGCGGACGCTCTACTGACTGAGCCAACACTCATGTTTATAGAAGTTGTAAAGTATTTGTAGTAGACATAATAATAATAGTGAACATTTATAATGCGCCATGTCTGTCAAAATGACACTCCTGGCGCAGTTGTGTGGAAATTGTATATATCCTGTGATAATGAGACGGGATGCATACGTGTACCTCAAAACTAAGCATGCATTCATGTCCATATTTCTTGACCCTGTGTTTCCAGTTTCGTCTCCCAGTGAAGACATCTGCAATGTTGTACGACCTGACAGACCAGACTGCCAGGGTGGTGCACCTTGCTTCAACTCTTATCAAAGCATTACCAATGATGTAGACTACTACTGTGACTGTCCTATTGGCCTCACTGGGCACAACTGCGAAACTGTCGGTAAGCATATGAATGATAATAGTTATTTGTATCTAACCAAGATTTTCTAGATTTTTTTCAATATTCATGTCAATATACATGACGTACTCACTGATACAATGATTATAAATGTTATTTTAACTAGTTAAATATGCAGACCAATGGTTCTTGTATATTATGTCCCTTTTACAGGCCCAAAAATGAAATGGTTAAATTCCAACGGCATTTGAAAGACAATACTAATTTAGAACGTCCCTCAAAAGGAAAGGGCTTGAAAAATGTTTTTTAGTGGGAAAATGAGGCCCATTAGTTGTCAAATCAACTTACATGTAGTAATAGTCTGATTTTCAGACCCTTTTACAAAATGGTTGTATGTTTTGTGCTGCACAAAGATTAAATCACTTTAATTTTGGCCATTACAAGTCGTGGGTTATTGATGTTGACAAATGCTCATGTACCTGTTACAGCTCATTTTATGTATGTACAGTCAAACCTGTCTATAGCAACCACCAAAGGGAAACACAAAAAGTGGTCTTTGTATACAGGTTACTTTAGTACATGTTACAATGAGAAACCATTTTCAAGCGAAACATTAAATGTGGTCCTTGTAGACAGGTGGTCACTAAAGCAGGTTTGACTGTAATCACCAAAGAAAAAAGATGTCAGTCAATCACTCAATAGTGTCAAAACTATAAGTGTAGGGGTCTAGGGAAAGAGAGAATTCATTTGTCAGTGGGGTCAATACACTTTTACCCGTTGTAGTTCTCGCTATCGCCAACATCGCCAAAATGCCCAGATGTAGCCTCTTGGATGTAATTCAAGTCACTTCTGGGGCTTAAATATTTCAAGTTTACGGCGGTATGCGCGCCGTATACGTATTATGCATATGCCCAATGTACATGTATGAAAGATTTAACAGCTTTTTCTAGGTTCCTCAACTTTTGTGATGGCAGCAAAGAAATACAAAAGCAAGATGCTCCAAATCATATCGACGACCAGATTGAAACAATGGAAGTCTCTTCAAGAAACTTTGAGGAAATGTCCATTTTTCATCCAACAAGCCAAAGAACCCTGTTTTGTAGCCTTGTCCATCAGTATTTTAGACAAGTTTTTGCACTTGCCAACTAACACAACCAAAGAAAGTTGACATTATTATTTCTATGCTTTTACTTGCTCTTGCCATCAAACATGCAAATGTCTTATTTTTAGAATGTTTAAAAATAGTTTTCATACTTTTTTTTGTAATGATCCACTCCTGAAATCGCTTGAAAATTGTGTTAAGAATCACTGTGGTTATTGTAGGAAAATAGAGTACACACACACTATCATGCACATATATATGCAAATATAAAAATATGCAAATATACCAGGCGTTTGGTCACTAACCTATCTCAGAGTGTATTTGAAATTGGGCTTTAATGTAACGTACAGGTATTTTTAATAATAGCAATAGCGAGAATTGTGACTGTCTTTCAAGCGAAATGTATCATTTACACTGTACTTTCATAATATTTATAACTTAATTGATTCTTGTGTTAATAGGGACATTAACAAAATCTTCTTCTACAAAGTCATATTTCTCAGTCTACTAACCTTTTAAAAAATGAGGAATAATGTATTCCGTAGAACAGAGAGAAGTTGATTATGAATTTTTAAATAAAAATAGAATGTAGAAACCACAATCTCATTTTGTTTCTTAACACAGCTCCAGACCCATGCGCCAGTGCTCCATGTCAGAATGGCGGAAACTGTATGTCCTTCAATACCTACTACACATGCTCATGCCCCTTGGGATTCTTTGGAGACCAGTGTCAAGTTTCTAGTAAGTTGATCTGGTTTTGAATGATTATGTATATACCTGAAATAATTACTTTTATGTTTGCAGAAGCTCTCCTAGGATTTTCAATTAAAGAATGAGACCCTTCGACCAGTTATTATGTATTCTTTGGTTTATGTTACCTGAGCTGTTTTCAAATTACCAATCTTAAAGACTACATCTAATAGTATTGACAATTTTCCTTATTCATCCAGTTCACCTTTCATTTTGAGTTACAAAAAAACAAAAAAACTTCATATTCACATGGGGTAAGAATAATTTAGCTGTTAACTATACATTGCTTACTACTCCTGTGTATTTTCTTTTTGGTGGTATGTGCAGTGAAACCTTCTTTTTCTGACCATCTATCTGTAAAGACCACACATTTCTTCAAGAAAAGCCTCTGTTTATCTTAAAATAAAATACAGCTAACATTTTAATTTTTATGTAAAAGAGAGAAGAAAAAAAAATTGCACAGTGATTAATCCTTTACTACAGATGATGCAACCCAACCATCCATTGTGGGCTGTCCAGAGGATATTGAGCTTCAGCTTGTATTTGGTCAGACCAGGGCTTTTGGCACATGGCAGGAACCTACATCACCAGATGGTGTAAGGGTATTCCGATCTGATGCTCCATCATCACTCTTCCCACTTGGTACATCCTCTGTTTCCTATGTCTTTGAGGATGTCTCAGAGAATAGAGCCACCTGTACCTTCTTTGTTAGAGTCTCAGGTAAATATATTTCTTCCTTGCCATTGACTTTCTTAAAGAAAATCTTAAACTGAATTAGGAGGCTGAAAATTTGATTCTAATGCTTTGTTTGGGTTTAAAAACTCACATGTTTTACCATGATCAGAACATACATTGCAATGCTTTGTATCTGTTTCTGTTTTTTAGGACAAAGTAGCTTTTCTTCACCAAAACATAAGGTATGCCTAGTCTTTAGGCACAAAGTTTGATTTGACACTTAAGCACAACTCCATAAACCCTTGAGTCCAGCCTAGCTCTGTCAGTTGATGACCTATTGGCCGAAGCACACGGGTGCTCGACCATGGTTGAGCACTCGTGTGCTTTGGCCAATAGGCCTTGTCCATTATTGTTTAAATTATTGATCGAATTATTTTACCGCCAGTCCACCCGTAGAGTATAAAAAATGCTTGCTTTCAATATATTTTATCACCTGAAGAAACGTCGTGATCTTTTGATCCCTTGTTGACCATACATCGCAAGACAAACGAATGTCACTGGCGATATTATTTTAGATAATATCAGATGTTTAGACAAAGGACAACTCAATATTTCAGGATGAAAATCATCTTGTCCTCCACGTTCTCTCACGTGATCATCATTATCATGACCTTTATCAATTATTATTAGTACAGTAATAGTAGTAGCAGTAGTTCGTTTGTTCGTGTCTCCTTAGATCAAGATTACTGTAATCTTGATCTTCGGAGTAGTTGCTACAACCGGCCGTGTCAGACACGTTGCCCCGGGGTGCGAGATAGGACTCTTGTAGCGTGCCCCCATTTAAAAACAATTATACAGTTACAGTTAACAATACATTTAATTAATAGTATGAAACTATTAAAATTACTCTCATGTTACGGGAAAAAATATTGCATATACATATTATGAATCAATTGATTTGGTCGATCCAGTTAGATGGCACAAACACGGCACTACTGGACAGAGATCCTAATAATTACAGAGCTTGGTCTTGTTGTTCTGTTCGCCAGCAGTTTAAGTAGTAGTAGTAGTAGTAGTGGTAATAATAATAATAATAATAGTATTGGTACTAGTATTATTATCATTATTGTTATGATTATTAGTTTTTAGATTTATTGCTAGGTTATTATTAGAGTTAAATTTAGTTTGATTATTATCAACCCTACATACCAGGTGATGTAGTAGATGATCAACCCCCATCAGTCTTTGGTTGCCCTGGAGACATCACTCTCACCCTACCAATTGGCTCTCAAACCACGATGGCCATTTGGCAAGTTCCTGGTGCCACTGACAACAATGGACCTGCCACACTCACAAGCAACTACAGCCCTGGGGATTCATTCCCTGCAGGCATCACTGAAGTGGTGTACGTTGCCACAGACTCTGCAGGACTGACTGCCAGGTGCTCATTCAATGTCATCGCTCAATTGCCTGGTGCGTATTGTTTCCATTGACCAGGAATCGTTTAATAATACTTGTATCGCGTGTATCACAAGTATGTATGAGAGAAGGAAAGGAGAAAAAAAAAAGAAGAGCAAGACAGGCTCAGCATAACTTCATTAGCCATCAGGTGGCAATGGAAATTCTTTATAACAAGAAACGTTTTAAAACGTGTTATTAAAGTTTCAGCAGCATCACAAAGGGCTACAATAATCGCCCTTTCCTGTGAAACTTGTCAATACTTACATCTTTCTTTTTCAATACATGTTTATGTGATGTGTAGTAAGATATATCTGTAGGCCCATACATTTCTTCAGCTTTTTAAATTCCATGCCCAGTAAAGAATAAAGACAAATATCTAAAAGATTTCTCCATCTGTATTGCATTAATACATGTTTCTAAAGATCAATTTTTCTTGATGTACTTCTTGAGCTGTTTTAGAATGATTATTTCAACAGTACATTTATTATCAAGGCAGCATCAAGAATTTCCCTTAACATTTTACCTTTTTTACAATTTTAAACATCTCAGTTGATGACACCCCACCTACAATTCAGAATTGTCCCGAGGAGAGATTTGCCTCTCTGCCTGCTGGAAGCACTTCTGTACCTGTGGTATGGCCTGTACCTATTGCATCGGACAACTCTGGTCAGGTTACTCTATCGTCTAATTACAACCCCGGTGATGTATTCCCAGCCGGGCAAACTTTAGTCTTTTACGCCGCCAAGGACCCCTACGGACTTCTGACTTCATGCACATTTACTGTCTTTGTGTCCACTACAGGTGAAACTTTTGTCTTATTCATTTATAATTTAATTTGTCATAATATACAAATGATACACAGCAGTGAGGGCATTAGTAAGAATTACCCACACAAGGTACCTTTGGAACAGTCTAACACGCCAGAAGCGATAGCCGAGGGTGTTTGGACTGTTTTGAAGGTACCGAGTGTGGGTATTATTTGTTTATTATAAGATTATGTTTTATTTGTTTTATAAAATGATGTTATATAACATAATTTTGATAATGACCGGTCATTATCCAAATTACGTGTTAGGCAAAATAAATGCCTAGGGCCGTATTCTGAACCCTGTGTTATTTCTAATATTGTTGTATCTTTGGAGATAAGATAAAGTTGGTATTCTGAACATTGTTGTAACTTTTGTGTTATCTTTTGTTGTATCTTTTCTCTCATCTCTTTGGCCACGCCTGCGCTCATACTTTGGTGCGCTTGTAATTGTGCCTATTAGTAATAAAATGGCGCTTAATCCCCATTTGCATATGCGCACAAGAGGTAATATGACAAGATAATTGGTATTCTGAAAGTTGTTATATCTTTTATCTTATCTTATCTTGCATGGTATTTACATCAATATTTACAACAGGTAGGGGGTTGTTGTATCTTTCGTGGTGATGTGCTGGCGGCAATATTTCTTGCCAAGAACCAACAATAAACAAGTTAGAAGAAGATTGTGTGTTGATCGGAAACATCACAGATGAGAACTTTCTAAGAAATTACATGCTATCATATGACGATTTTAATGCTCTCATCTTAACTAATATAGTGAAAGCGTGATTTGTCTTCATGATCCACATTCAACAGCGCATAATGTTGACGCGCGTAATAAGCGCTCAATTAACAAGATTAGTATGCGCTAGGCGCGTCTTCAGATATGGCATAAAGTATTCCTATTGGTTGACCTACTTATCATGCTTATATAAAACAGATTTTGATTGGTAGGGTCCATACAAATGGGCGTGTCAACAGTGGTCAAAGATAAGATAGAGGCGGTCCTTCAAGAGATAACACAGGGATAAAATGATGTTCAGAATATTAACTTACAACAATATTAGTGCTGTGTTATCTCTGGAAGATACAACAAAAGATAACACAAAACTTACAACAATGTTCAGAATATCACCCCTGGTCACATGTATGCTTTCAACCAATCATTTGATTAGGATCATCCATGTCATCATCTTATGATATTACTTATTCATCAATTTTGTTAATGTGATTGTGAATGTTTGGGGGAAGAAGATCCAGAATAAGAATAAGAATTCAGAACGAGAACGAAAACAAGGCAATGACATCATGCCTCATTGCAATAAAGGCTATTCTAATCTTTAATATTATTCAAACCGTACCAATGAATATCCTAATCTCTTAAACGTACTTCTAGGCTTAATAAATACGGCTTTACTGTAAATAGTAATTCCCTCATATCTAGGGGAGACTGACGACCATTTTGGACGCCATCTTTGATTTCCTTTTTCTTGTTGCCATAACACATTTTATGCAGTCTACATGGATTTGGTGACCCACAAAACCTAGGTATAGACAACAAAATTACATCTCCAAGATGGATATACATGTATCACAATTTATGTATAATTCAGTTTCCAATGGCCAGCTTGAATTACAAAAATGGCTGCCATCTTAGGTATTGTTTTGAGTATGAGGCTTCTCTAAACCTTTATGATAATTTGAAGCATACCAGTGAATATCCTGACCTGTAATACATACTTTTAATCTTTCAAATTACAACTTTCCTGTAATTACATGCAGTAACTCACTTCTAGTCATTTTTAGGAGACTGGCAGCCTTTTTATTATTATTATTATTATTATTATTATTATTATTATTTTTATCCCATAAGGCCCAAAGCGCTTACAGTAAATGACAATTACATAAAAACATGTAATAAGAAAAACAATCTTACAACTACAAACTGCAAGAAAGATGTGTTTTCAATGCCTTTCTGAAGGTAATAACTGATGAAGACTGTCTAATTTTAAGTGGTAGATCATTCCAGTATTTTGAAGCAGATAAAGTAAATGTCCTATCACCAGCTAATGTGCAAGTAACTGAATATGCGATTTTTGGATCGCATCTTGGTTTTCCAGGTTTCCTGATGTCTTTAATCCGTTGTAAGTGGTGTGAAAAAATTCTTTGACCCTAAAAACCGTAGTATAGACTCCAGAATCGTATCTCCTAAATGGATTTATGGTTTTTAAAAAGTAAAAGCGGCCATCTTGAATCCCATTTTTTGTTTAAACCTTTTTCTGAGTGGGGGGGGGGGGGGGGGCAAGAGGCTAACCCTTTACTGACCTCACTAAATTGGGAATACAAACTAGTGTAGTGTTAGTAAAGTGTGATGCATTGCACTGCCTGAATGTTACTGGTATTGTATTAATTCCTTCTAGGTGACCTCAGTCCACCCGTAATCAATGGCTGTCCAGAGACTCAAGTTGTTTCTGCGCTCCAAGGATCCACGAGTGCGCAAGTGACGTGGACACCACCTACAGCAACAGACAACAGCGGATTTGTGACCATCACTGGGGATTCTACTCCTGGCTCATCTTTCCCTGTGGGGACATCAACCGTCAGATACGAGGCAAGAGACCAATCCGGTCTTGTCACTTCTTGTACTTTTCAAGTTCTTGTGACTCAGAATGGAGGTAGGTATCACAAAATATTGAATTGTTTCCATGGGTAGTTTGTGCAATGCTTAATTTCTGCATTTTTGTATCCATAATGCTCACACAGTCTACTTGAGGACACCTGCACTTGTATGATTGCAGGGTTCCAAAGTCTATTCAAATCCTTGTGTTAATGATTTCCTTTCCACCTTACAACAAATTAAAATTTCTCAAATTATGCTGAATTGTAAGTAATTGACTACAGTAAAACCGTAAATTGTTGCATTCTAAATGATTTTGGTGATTTGTCCATTTAAGATATGAACAATTTGTTTTAAGGGATATTTTTGCCACAATTTCTAGAGTGTACATGGAGCAGGGTTGTTCTTGTGTTCCCACTAAGGAGGCATTAACTTGTATACTGTAACACAGAGTTAACACTCTTCTGGCTCTGAACTGTCGACATCTGGAGCTTCTTTTGTGCGACTGCTTATGATGACATATTTTATTAAAAAACAGGAGACACTGTGCCTCCAGTTATCAGCAGCTGCCCTTCAGATCAGTTTGCAACACTTCCTGTGGGAGCCTCAACTGTAACAGTGTCTTGGATAGAGCCAACGGCTACAGATAATATAGTGCTTGCGATGTTTATCTCCAACTTCAACCCTGGGGCCTCCTTCTCTTTGGGTTCTCGCACTGTAACATACACAGCAACAGATTCCAGTGGATTACAGGCTTTCTGCTCATTCAGTGTTATTGTCAGTGGTGCTACATCTACAGGTATTCTCATTCCCTACCACTTTTAATTTACTTGGATTTTTAAATCACATAAAATGGGCAGTCAATCCTGCTCTAGACCGTGACTCACAAAGCCGAACAGTGTTTGAACTATTAAGGAATGTTTGACTTTGTCTATCCTTCTGAAACAGAAGTGGCAATACTTCAATTAAAGTTTGCATCCATCGAAGATACATGTACTCTGTGCCGGATTTGACATTGAAACAAAAGGCTTTTAGTCCAATTTCACTCTTAAAGGTTCAGTTTTTCTAGAAACTTGGTGGCACAAGAGGGGTGAAAGGCCACTCCACTTCTCTTGATTTGACTGTGACAGGCATTAGAAAGAACTTGCCACGTGGTTTAACTCTTATGCTGCCACCCATACAATGCACCCAGTGCCACAGTGCTAATCCCTATTGTGCCAGCCACAAATCCCCCTGTGTGCCAAGTTAATTTTAGTGTTGGTTCAAGTGCGTGTTTTTAAAATCTTTACTATGTTTGATCCACTATAACTTCTCATTCGTATGTTGTATAAACAAACATTGTACATGAAAGTTGTAGGAAATTTCACCCTCTTTCCATTGATACCAATATCATTTCATGAATTTGTAATTTTGCTGAGATAAATAAGCATCTCTCGCACCAGATCCGGGTCAATGAAGCATATACGTTTCTTGCGATGGGGAGGCATAATGATGATATATGATATTAAAAAAAAATCGCTAAATTACTCGAGAAAATCCAATCTGACTGTTGTAGACGAAGACGCGTAATCGAAAGCCGATAATCTGATGCACGCAATGGTACTTTCAATAGCGCTGCAAAAGCACTCAGCACGGTGCAATGGGCATGACCAATAACTGTTATTACATGTGCGTGCTAGCGTGCTCAAAGCAGACAAGCGGTAGCTCGCTAGCATGAACGTAGCAATCAATTGATAGTGCACACGGCACTATAACAATAGCGTGCTAGCAGTCTCATGGCAGGATATGAGTTAAACGTTCAGAGATGAAAATCCTTCCCAATTGATTCCCTAATGATCACATAACTAGATAGTATTATACAAAGTGAGGTAATTGTGAGCCTAATCAGCTGCAAATCATAGAGATATCAAACTGGTCACATGACTGACAATAGATTGGTTGCCAAATTTAGCTTTCCATGAGTCTCTAACTTTAATAGGATAGAATACTCAGCATTTAACATACATGTTTTAGTATTTAAAAATATATAATATTAATATTTTGTCAGACTTGACACACCAGGTGGTCCCGATTATTACCCTGGTTTCAGCACGGCTACCATTATGATGCTCTAGCATTTTAAGGAATTAATTCCTGCCAGTTACCCATTTACATCACCTGGGTTGAGTGTGGCAAATGTAGATCAATGTCTTGCCAAAGGTCATTAGTGCTGCGGCGGAACAATCATTTAGCAACTCATGCAGGTAAAGTTTACATCTTGATATTTGATTTAAGATATAAATTGCTTTTAAATTCCACTCATTGTCACCAGAAGCTCTGTGGCCTTTAATAGGTTAGTGATCATTGAATAAAGTCATTAGAGTGGATAATCACTTAGGATTCTAACCCTAATTATGCCTTGCCTTACAGGGAAATCAATTTCTTCCTATCCAACTTTATGTCATAATTGAAGGTAATTTTTGTCGCTTCCTTTACCAGTAGTATGTATACACTCCAGTCACTGAATTAATTTCTATTTTGCCAACCCACTTAAAATCATTGTTCCCCAGCATTTTTGTTAAAAGTTGTTAACAAATGCGGAGTGAAAATACTGACTTTAAACACAATCTTTGGTAAACATAAAGTTTATCAAACACAAGAATATAGATCAGTATATACAATTTTGCATGTGGACATTAGGGCTGTAATGGTGTGCTGGGGCACTCTATAAACACAATACATGCACCCACGGTCCAGTGAGTAAACCATTCAAATACAGTACATTACTGTCTTCCTGTGTGTAACAATTAATTGCATTATTTCATTTTTCTCCCAAAGGTGATACCACTCCTCCAGTTTTGTCCGGTTGCCCAGCAACAATAACCCTGCAGGTGCCCAATGGTACCCCGTCAGCTGTTGCAACTTGGACACCACCAACAGCCACAGATAGTCAGGGCACAGCCAGTGTCGTCTCCAATGGAAACAACCCTGGAAGTTCTTATCCAGTAGGCTCTACCACCGTGATATATACAGCCACAGATGAAGCTGGCCTGCAGTCTAAATGTGCCTTTAACATCCTTGTTACTTCCGGAGGAGGTAACCCCACTCCTTTCTATGCTTGTGTTCGAACATTGTAACATGTATGGGGTAATTAACAGCTGGATTCAGGGGTTAGGAGCTGTATTGATGTGATTTATTTAAAACTGCTAGACTACCTCTTGAGCACAGTAAATAATTGGCTCTGGCTGTTTTATGATATGATATTATGATAGTAATAAAGTAATAAATCAAAATGGACTTATTTACCTAGGGTAGAGACATCAGTATTATTAAACACTGCTCTTCCTGTGGTCCCTGCAATTATGGTGGACATGTAGGTACCCATTTGATGCACCTGAGTCTACAAGGATAAATATGGGCTAATCGCCTTGTCCAAAGATGTAAGCACTGAAACCAGGCCCTCTTGTTTTAATAATTTAGAGCCTTCACCAATATACCACAGTGGTCCCACTTGAAACCATCATTGTATGGATCATTTTCAGTTACATTTACAATGTATTTGTACCATTGCTGTTGTGTTTCTAGCATCTGTGATTAACATAGTGTCAACAAGAAAAATTAGAATATGAAATGGGTATGTTGCTCAGTTTCTATTGTTTGGATTAAAGTAGCCAACACTCTGGGATATTGTAGATGTAGCTCTACTATAAGTAGTAGCTCAACTATGTTAGGTAATTTATGTCATGCAATTATTATATGTAACCCTTATGACGAAATGTGTTTTTCACAGTACTTGAGTGATTTTTAACTCATTTTCAACTTTTTCTGACCCTTTCCAGTGGTTTCATTATCTATATTTTTTTCTCTTTTTTTAATGATTTGTTATACTTTTTTTTTTATTATCGAATGGAATGATGATCATGATGAAGATGATGATGATATTAATAATGATAATGATAATGATAATGATAATGATAAAATTAGAATACTATTAATAAAAAAAATAACAATACTGAACAGTGATAATAATAATAATAATAATAATAATAATGATGATGATGATAATATGATGATAATAATGATAATAATAATAATAATGTTGATAATAATATTAATAAAAATGATAATAAAAATAATGATGATGATGATAATGATATCTTTGATGTATCTCTCTTTGTTACAGGGGGAACTGTAGTGGATGGCATTCCACCTGTATTAATGAATTGCCCCAATGCAGTCTTTGGTGAATTATTTAGTAGTAGTGGATTGGCCTCTGTATCATGGGAATTACCCTCTGCTACTGATGACGGAGTTGCGATAGATTTCACCAGTGGATTGACGTTCACAAGTGCTTTTTTCCCAGAGGGTAGAACTGGACCTTTTAGTTGGAGGTTTAGTGACGCTGCAGGAAATGAAGTCACTTGTGAGCTGTACATTTTTGCTGCAGGTAAAGATGTTTTGAATGTCAATAATATTAATAATAATAATAATAATAATAATAATAATAATAGCGAAAACTTATAGAGTGCACACACCGTCCAGGAAAATCAACCACAAAGATAATTACTGACCCCCCCCCCCCTCCCCAAGGACAATTGCCCCCTAGGACAGATGTGACGATCTGACACATTTGTAGGAGGTGTAAAGGCTACTATCCCATGCATGGACCCACATTCCTTCAAAAACTTGCACATTATCTGCCTCTCTACTACACATTTCCCTTATCTATGATTTATGCAACATAATGGGTTATTTTGGTGGTCAAAAAAGTGATATTTGTTACTTTTCATTCAGTTCAGAATGATATGCCTACTTGTTTAAACTTTCTCTATTCTGTAAATATAAACATGGTAAATGTTGGTGATGACCTCTCAACAACAAATGATTTGGGGGAGTAAAAAGCTCAGATTAGAATTAGTAATGCTAAGATATTGATGTATGGTATTCATATTTGCTTTTCAATCCTTGAATGAATTTTGCAGTGGCTCGCACGGACACCACTCCTCCAAGTGTGACCTCCTGCCCAGGCGATGTAACTGCCGCTTCTTCCGATGGCTTGCCAGTTCCTGTCACATGGACAGAGCCCACGGCTTCTGATGGACAAACTGCGGTATTGACCATTTCATCTACTCGTAATACGGGAGATTCATTTGGCGTTGGAACAACTCCAGTGAGATACACCTTCATTGATGACCAGGCAAACACTGCCAACTGTGATTTCAATGTCATTGTGACCGGTGGTGGTGGTTGTAAGTCTTCCAATTATTACTTTAGTTCTCAGTACAGGCAGGGTTCTCAGGACAGCACAACACACCCTCTGTGGCAATATGAAGCATGAGGGAATTCATTAAAAATAATATTAGGGCAAATTCACCTGAACAAAGTTTCTCAAAAACTATGACATTTTTTTACCCCCCCCCCCCATATGTTGTGTCACTATTTTTCACTAAATTTGGACCAAGGGTGGTAAATTTCTTGCTTAGATGCATGAGTACGGTTCATGACCAATGTTCAAAAACCTACTGTGATGTCAAGATATGCAAATGAAGAACACCACTTTAGAATTTGATGAATATACAAATCTTTCTTGAAAAACTACAACCAAGGTATTCTGAAATGTAAAAGCAAGTTAGATTCATTAGAAACGTTAGCCTCTTGTGCATCAGCTATTGGCAAAGACAAAGTATTTTGTCCCATATAATGACCAACATTGTATATTTGATACCTATATTCAGTTAAAAGCCATACGATTGCTTTAACCAAACCAAATATTGAGAAAAATAATAGATTCAAGTTTTGTTACATTCTTAATTTCATGAAACTTGGCAATGTATGGGACAAAGACCAAATACCTTGGACTTGTCCTATTATACATTGTATGATGATGAATAGGTTTTACTGCTTGGGAGAAGGCACTCTTTTTCCAATCATATTTGTGTGATATCAACCATCAGTGACAGATGCCGGCAATGTTCAAATAATATTGAGTTAATTGCTCAATCATAAAGTCTTAAAGTTGAAACCTTGTGCAGCTAGATTTGGATCAGCTGCAGAATGTTTCACCAGGCATCAGTATAATGTAGACGCATTTGGGTTAAGGTTACAATTACAATGAAGGGTTAGGACCAGAGTCAGGGTTACAGTCAAGGTCAGGTTAAGGTTTATGGTGTCTTGTTGATGGGCTATTTTGCAGCTTTTCCTCAAAATCCATACTTATCTCGACTTCTCAAGATTGGTTTTTGTCTCAGATCATTCACACTTTTTTTTTCTTCAGCTGTTGATAACAACCCCCCAGTGGTTACCGGATGCCCATCAACGATTGTTCTGTCAGCTCCAGCAGGAGCAACATCAGCTACAGCCACATGGACACCACCAACTGCATCCGATGCCGAAACGTCCGCGACAATCATCAGTGATGCAAACCCTGGTATTTCTGTGCCAGTGGGAGGAAACCGCTTGGTCACTTACACAGCCAGTGACGTCAATGGCCTCCAAGCAATCTGCTCTTTCAATATCATTGTGTCAGGTACTGTAACCCTCCTGGAGGTGCATGGGTCCCCAGAAACAGCTTCTTTTCTTCAGGATAAAACCAATAAAAGCGATGATGTTTTGGGAAATTGTGCTAAAAATCAGCCAGATGTAAGATAATTTTGTGTTATGGATGCAAGAAACTATTTTATTAGATCATGTTTAGTTTTGTTTTGGGCCGAATGAATGCTATCAAAACATTGAGGATGACTCGATTGAATACATGTTAACATGCATTATATACACCAGTACTTATTCAACACCATATGGTACATACATGTATAGGCATTAAGTGTACGACATACGTGTATCTCATTATTTTTTTTTAAGCCTTTGCAGATTTTAAATTTACATGTATTCTCTCTCTCACAAACATACACACACACACTTACTCATTCTCTTTTTCAATGTTTTTATCATGATCAAGGAACTGCTGGAAACCAGGCACCGCAGCTTTTCAATTGCCCAGCATCTGCTTCTGGGGTTTTAATTCCACCAGCAAACTCAGTTGCTGTTCTCTGGACACCACCCACTGCAACCGATGATTCTGGCACACCAGCTTTAACAAGTACTTTCCAACCTGGCAGTCAGTTTTTTGTTGGTGTAACTCCTGTTACGTACACAGCAAGGGATGCAGCTGGGCTGGCAACTAGCTGTTCCTTCCAGGTCACAGTTACACAAGGTTTGTATAGACCATGATTGTTATGTATTTCAATATATGTAAGCCAGTCCCATGATTTTGTCATTTTGGACCCATTCTTTAACCCATTTCCTATTGGAACCGGGTGGTCTCTTCATCAAGCCAATGGGAATAAAAGAATTCAGTACTCACTAACCGGTTTAAGTATCACAATAGTAAACTTAATTAACATTAAATGTATCACCACCTATAGGGTACTTTAGAGGTTACTTCTCTTGGCTCAAAATGCTATTAGCTCAATAGCAATAATGATAATAATGATTATTTGTAAAGTGCCATACCGTATTTGCCGGCGATAAGGCCGCACCGCTGCATAGGCCGCACCCCAACTTTGACATTTCAAAGAGGGGAAGAAAAAATACATAACGGACAAAACAAAATAGTCATAATTTTTTCGAACACTCCTTTTTTTTTACAAACTGATACCAAATTCATCAATATTCTTATAATTTACTGGAAGTTTAGCTAAAAAAGTGATCGCAGGCAGATTTGGTGTCCGATATATATCCCTACCATAATTTACGGTGTAATGCTAAGGGCGCCGCTCAGTGGCGACCACCACTGGATTTGTTCTCCCCATCTTTTGGATTATTTGTTACTATTTTGTCTTATTTTGTGAGTGCACTTTGACCTTCATCATGTTTTCCATAACTGTGAGATTAGCCATGGCTACCTTTTGGATATTTTTGATCCTCGCATCGGTGTTTTTGACTGGTTCTGCCCTGAAAGTCGAACACCAACTGAATAGCCTTGTATACACACGGACTGAGATACTCAACCTACGCGCCGCCACGGGGATGCTCGACCCCTCGGATATGAGGACTTTCCACCCGAGATCAAACCACGTAAGAGAGGTAAGAGGGGCGGAATAAGGACAAGGCTGAGAAAGAGAGGAACAAAACCGGCCCTCCCTTCAATAATATTGGGGAATGTACGCTCGTTGCCTAATAAGATGGAAGAACTTGAAACACTTTCTAGATACATGAACGAATACCGAGATTCTTGTCTATTGGCATTTACAGAAACATGGTTGAAAGAAAGCATTCCCGACAATGTTATTGATATTCCACATTTTGATGTAGTAAGAGGAGACAGAACAGAACAGTCAGGGAAAAGCAAAGGAGGAGGCGTATGTCTATATATCAACCAAAAGTGGTGTAATAATTGGGATGTCAAGGATGTCGTTTGTCTGCCCGATATTGAACTCATTACAGTGGGACTCCGACCTTTCTATCTTCCCCGTGAATTTCCCCAGATATTCATTACTGTGGTCTACATTCACCCCCGTGCTGATGTTGAAATTGCCAGTGAATTACTAGCTGCTAAAGTAAATCATCAAGCTTCGTTGTCCCCTGATGCCCCTACATTCATAATGGGTGACTTTAACCAATGTCACTTGAATGGTGTACTTCCCACGTTTGAACAATATATTGACATACCAACAAGAAACGGAGCTACCCTAGATAAGTGCTATGGTAACATTCCTAAAGCATACGTTGGAAAACCGTGTCATCGTCTAGGAAAGTCCGATCACCAAAACATCCGCTTACTACCGGCTTACAAGCAAAAGTTGAAAAGAAGCCGGCCCGTCACTAAGCAACGGTACGCGTGGACTGATGACTCAACGGAGGAACTCCGAGCAGCCTTTGACTGTACGGACTGGGATCTATTGTTCAACTCAGCGAGCTCACTAGACGAAGCCACTGATGCTATCACAAGTTATGTCAAGTTTTGTGTCGACTCGATTATACCCCTTAAAACGTTTAAAATGTTTCCCAACAATAAGCCATGGGTTACAAAGGAACTCCGGGACCTGCTGAAGGTAAAGAATGGTGCACTCATCAACGGTAACAAGACGCGTGTCAAAGAGGTACAAACGGAAATTAAACGCTTAGTTGACTCTTGTAAAATGTCTTATAAAAACAAGCTCGAAAATAACTTTCGAAATAACAAACCTGCTGCTGCCTGGAAAACGATGGAGGTGATTACTGGGTATAAACCAAAGCCCAAGACTCTGGGATTTGACATAACACAGGACTTTGTCGATGAACTGAATGACTTCTATTGTAGATATGATAAAAAGTTTACAGTTGAAAATGACGTAATTGCACTCAGACTAAGGCAAATGTTAAGTGGATCTGAAAATGTAATATGTATCTCTGAACATGATGTTAGGCGATGTTTTGGGGCACTTAAAACTAATAAAGCCCCAGGGCCTGACGGTATCTGTAACAAAGTACTCAAGCTTTGTAGGGATCAGTTAGCCGGGGTATTTAATGAACTTTTCAACCATTCACTGGAAAGGGGACATATCCCGACTCTTTGGAAAACATCCCTGATAAAACCAATTCCTAAAGGGAAGAAAGTGAAGGAACTTAATGACCTTCGACCCATTTCACTCACTTGTAGTGTTATGAAATGTTTCGAAAAGATCATGATGAAGAACCTTCTTGAATACACTTCCCCCTACATTGACCCCATGCAGTTTGCATACAGATGTAAGAGAGGAGTTGACGATGCAGTACTAACATACCTACATAAGGTATATGCCCATTTAGACAAGGCTAAGACCTATGTAAGATCCACTTTCGTGGATTTTTCTAGTGCTTTCAACACTATTATCCCCCACCTTCTGATAAACAAACTCATTGATATGGAAGTCCCTCCCCAGTTAAGTCTGTGGATACAGAGTTTTTTAAGTGACAGACCACAGAGAGTGGTCTTAGGTAACGCCTTATCCTGTCCAAGAATTGTAAATACAGGGGCGCCCAGGGCTGTGTCATCTCCCCCGCGCTCTTCTCCCTCTACACAAGTGACTGTCTATGTAATGTAGGAGAGTGCAGTATCATCAAATATGCGGATGATACTGTAATCACAGGTTATCTTTCTGAAGATGTAGACCCATACGTTAAGGTTATAGATGAGTTTGTTAAATGGTGCAATGACCACTTCCTAATACTAAACGTAACTAAAACAAAAGAGATCATAATTGATTTTCGCCGAAACCCCTTCGATCATACCCCGATTTTGATAAATGATACTCCTGTAGAACAAGTTACAGAGTACAGGTATTTAGGTACTACTATCTCAAAGTCACTTGATTGGACTAAGAACATTGTAGACATCCAAAAGAAAGCCAACCAGAGACTATACTTTATTAGGGTAATGAAAAACTTAAGAGTAGATAGTAAGTTGATAGAACTGTTCTTTAAGTCCCTAATTCAGAGTGTCCTAACCTTCAACCTAATTTGCTATTATGCAAACGCTAAAATTGCTGCCAAGAAACTACTCGAACGTCCCAGAAAGGCAGCAAAACTTATCACAGGAGCCGATCTAACATCCATAGAAGATCTGTATCAGAAAAATGCCCTTTCTAAAGTAAAACAAATAATGCATGACCCCTCGCACCCACTGAATGAGCACTTTAATTATAACAGATCTGGAATACGCCTGTGCACACCACGAACCCAACGTGCACGTTTCCGAAGATCCTTTATCCCCGACTCCATTCATCTTTTCAATTCCAAAGCAAAACGTGTTTGATTACTATGAACCTACCATGTAATGTATCAATATAAATGTATATGCCATGAATACTGCATCCAACTATTTACTAACGTTTGAGCCAGTAACTACAACTTATGTGTCATCAATAAACTTAACAATAATAACGATGCCGGTATTAATTATACTATTGAAAATGGTAATCAATAATAATAATAATAATAATAATAATAATAATAATAATAATAATTCATGTATTTATTATCATTTTAAGATTTAATATGGAATAATCAATGAATATTAAATAATTTAGCTTCATATTTTGTAAAATGGAATCTGATATTATCTCTTCAACCACCATATATACAGTGGCTTACTCACATATTATCTCATTCTTTATGTATGCTTATCATAATATTCATGTTTATCACTGTCTTGTAATATTTCATGTATATATTTGTATTGTAATACTCTGTAACCAGTGGAAAACAAATTTCCTGTAAAGGACAATAAATTCTTATACTTATACTTATACTTATGCGAAACTGCATGAAATGGAAAACAAAATGGCGACTTTGGATGGATGTTCGCTGCAGCTCCGTTAAACGGTCCCTTCCTTTACTTTTGCAATGCATTGGCACGAACTTAGATCAAGATCTATCGGCAAATGTTGTGTTAGGACGTTTACTTTTCGTCTTTATGTCAACAATGCAAGGTAAAAGTGTCGGTAAGATGTGTGGAAATGTCCTGTACCATAGTGGTATAGTTATTTTGCCGTTCGTAGTCCCATATGTGCAAATTCGTGCTGGTTTTGACTTTTTTAAAAATTTTTTTTTTACTCTTTCGCCGTTAAGGCGCACCCCGACTTTTTGATATTTTTTCTTCCAAAAATACTGCGGCCTTTACGCCCGCAAATACGGTATTCATTTTGCAGTAATGCTCAGGGTGCTAAGAGCATACCCGTACCTAAAAATGATATAGTTACATGTAAATTGCAATACAGTGCACGTGAACAATACAAATTAAAGTGTACATTGACAAAAATAAGTTGACACAAAAATAATGAATGACAAAGATGAAATTGAATTGATTTAAAGCGGTTTTGACCAGGTGAGTTTTGAGAGAAGACTTGATTGAGTTTACAGTATATATTTCCTTAAAGCCTGTCTGTACTAGTTTGGCCAGGAGGGATTAGACCACCCAGCATTGTCACTGGCAGGTGGTTATCTCATCAACTCAGCTCTCAATTACCTAACATAAGAAAAAGAAGATCATGGGGGACCAACGAGCACCGCTTAGGCATTGTTTTCTATATAGAGGGAGCAAGTACATGTAGCTACTAGTAGTGCAGTGGGGCTTTAAGAGGCTGTGGTAATTTACTCCATAGAACTGATCCAGCATGATCAAAAGATCGATCCCCCGTGGTTGTATTGTTTGGGAACTACAAGAAGAAAAAGGTCTGAAGATCCGACTTGTTTACAAATACTATTGAAAGTGAACAAGTAGAGTTGTACTTTAAAAGTACTATGCAAACAATGAAAATCCACAAGGCCCCTAATATGCTACCAATCCGTCAAAATGAGAGAAAAGTCACATTTTTCAAATTTTAATTTTTGGTTCATTCTTATTTTTTTGATGCCTCCGCTACAAAGTAGCCGGAGGCATTATTTTTTCGGGTTGTCAGTCCGTACGTCTGTACCGTACGTCTGTCCGTACGTCCCGTTCTCGTGATCGCGTTATCTCAAGAACCGATTGATTGATTCCCGTCAAACTTGGGTCATGTATGTATCTCACAGAGCCAATGAACTGATTAGATTTTGGAGTCACGAGATCCAAGGTCAAAGGTCACAGGGCTCATTATGTATGCAAATTGGCTCGTGATCGCGTTATCTCAAGAATCGATTGATGGATTCCTGCCAAACTTGGGTCATGTATGTATCTCACAGAGCCAATGAACTGATTAGATTTTGGGGTCACGAGATCCAAGGTCAAAGGTCACAGGGCTCATTATGTATGCAAATTGGCTCGTGATTGCATTATCTCAAGAACCGGTAGATGGATTCCTGCCAAACTTAAGTCATGTATGTATCTTACACAGCAAATGAACTGATTAGATTTTGGGGTCACAAGGTCAAAGGTCAAAGGTCCCAGGGCTTGTTATGTACGCAAAAATAGCTTGTGATCACGTTATCTCAAGAACCAATTAATGGATTACAGCCAAACTCAAGTCATGTATGTATCTTGCAGAGCCCATGAGCTGATTAGATTTTGGGGTTATGAGGTCGAAGGTCAAAGGTCATAGGGTTCATTATATATGCAAAAATAGCTTGTGCATGCATTATCTCAAGAACTGATTGATGGATTCCTGCCAAACTAGGGTCATGTATGTATCTTGCAGAGCCAATGAACTGATTAGATTTTTGGGTCACCAGGTCAAAGGTCAAAGGTCACAAGGCTCATTATGTATTCACAAATAGCTTGTTAATCACATTATCATGAGAACCAATACACAGATTTCTATCAAACTCAAGACATGTATATGTATCTTGCAGAGCCAATCAACTGATTAGGTTTTAGGGTCATCAGGTCAAAGGTCATGTAGCTCATTATGTATGCCTATAAATAGCTTGTGCATGCATTATCATTCAAATTGACAAATGGATTACAATCAAACTTGAAGTTTTGGTTTGTAAAATTTCTCTATGGCGAAGGCATCATTTTTCGACAGCACGCAGTCAAAGTTCCATCTAGTTTTCATAAGCTTCAATTTCATATAAAGCTCAATTCTAGAGAAGGAGCATTAGTGGAGATAAAAGCTTGTAAACCGTAAGACTCAGGAATGGGGTTTCAAAAAGGTGTTTTTACAAGAAAAACGCTTCCAAAGTTTAAATTCCGTTTTGTTTTTCGAGTCTTATTTTTTCAATTTACTGTCAATTTCATTTAGAAAAAGGCCCTAGCACCCATTTTCAATTTGAATAAGACCTAGTTTATTTGTTTCTTTAGGATCTCTTCTCATGAAAAAGATTAAGATTTAAAAAAAAACTTTATTTTCTTCAGAATTAAACCATTGAAGTAATGATGTTTTGGGAAATTAAGCTAAAAATCAGCCAGATTGAAGATGATCTTGTGTTTAGGATGCAAAAAACTATTTTATTGGTGTTGTTGTTGTTTTTTTTTTTTTTTTTTGGGGGGGGGGGGCAGAATGAATACTATCAAAACATTGAGGATGACTTGATTGGATACATGTTAACATGCATTATATACAACACCATATAATAGGCATTAAGTGTACGACATTCATGTATCTCATTATTTTTTTAAAGCCTTTGCAGATTTTAAATTTACATCTCTCTCTCTCTATCTCTCTCACACACACACACACACACACACTTACTCATTCTCTTTTTCAATGTTTTTATCATGATCAAGGAACTGCTGGAAACCAGGCACCGCAGCTTTTCAATTGCCCAGCATCTGCTTCTGGGGTTTTAATTCCACCAGCAAACTCAGTTGCTGTTCTCTGGACACCACCCACTGCAACCGATGATTCTGGCACACCAGCTTTAACAAGTACTTTCCAACCTGGCAGTCAGTTTTTTGTTGGTGTAACTCCTGTTACGTACACAGCAAGGGATGCAGCTGGGCTGGCAACTAGCTGTTCCTTCCAGGTCACAGTTACACAAGGTTTGTATAGACCATGATTGTTATGTATTTCAATATATGTAAGCCAGTCCCATGATTTTGTCATTTTGGACCCATTCTTTAACCCATTTCCTATTGGAACCGGGTGGTCTCTTCATCAAGCCAATGGGAATAAAAGAATTCAGTACTCACTAACCGGTTTAAGTATCACAATAGTAAATAATTAACATTAAATGTATCACCACCTATAGGGTACTTTAGAGGTTACTTCTCTTGGCTCAAAATGCTATTAGCTCAATAGCAATAATGATAATAATGATTATTTGTAAAGTGCCATACCGTATTTGCCGGCAATAAGGACGCACCGCTGCATAGGCCGCACCCCAACTTTGACATTTCAAAGAGGGGAAGAAAAAATACATAACGGACAAAACAAAATAATCATAATTTTTTCGAACACTACTTTTTTTTTACAAACTGATACGAAATTCATCAATATTCTTATAATTTACTGGAAGTTTAGCTAAAAAAAGTGATCGCAGGCAGATTTGGTGTCCGATATATACCGCAACCATAATGTACGGTGTAATGCGAAACTGCATGAAATGGAAAACAAAATGGCGACAGCAAGGGATGCAGCTGGGCTGGCAACTAGCTGTTCCTTCCAGGTCACAGTTACACAAGGTTTGTATAGACCATGATTGTTACGTATTTCAATATGTAAGCCAGTCCAATGATTTTGTCATTTTGTGACACATTCTTTAACCCATTTCCTATGAAATCAGGTGGTTTCTTCATCAAGCCAATGAGAATGAAAGAATTCAGTACCGGTAGTCACTAACAGGTTTAAATATCACAATAGTAAACTTGATTAACATTAAATGTTTCTCACCTATAGGATACTTACAGGTTACTGTGTCCATACATTACTTCTCTTTGTTCAAATATGCTTTTAGCACAATAACCCTTACATCATTAGCTTTTGTTTGATATTTAACTCAACTCTATAGAGAGGGATGGAGATACAGTAATAGCTTTTAAACCATGAGAAAACAAAAGTTTTCAAAAAGGGTTTTACGAGAAAAATTGCTTGACTTCCATTCGGTTTTAAGCATGAGCATTTTTAATTTCATTGTCAATTTCATTTTGAAAAAGGCCCTAGCAATCACTTTTCAATTTGAATAAAACCTAGTGTATCTGTTTCTTCATAATCTTTTCCCATGTTTCATTTTTGGGAAGTATGAACCCTAATTCATTTTCAGAATGAGAAACTTTCATTTGATTTTCAGACTTCCAAACTCATTTTTAAATTCAGAATGATAAAACTTGGTAACTACTGAATGCAAAAATATTTCCAGATGAATCCAATAAAATTTTGACAAGATTACCATGATTAATTAGTTCTGTATACTGTACCGACTCTGAAAAAAAAATGATTTCATGCATTATTCCTCCAGTTTTTTTGTATATAGCTAAAGAATTCTCTGTTTTTAGAAGATGAAAAATTGAAACACGCCCTGACCAGAAGATTATCAATATTTTTATTCTCTCTTTCTAAATCATGAACTTGTGATCTCGACATGGTTCCTTTTCTCTCTTTTAAAAGTGAACTTTATTATATATTTCGTATTTGTATTTGATACACAGTGAGATGAAGTAAAAATGTAATTTTTCTCCTTCAAAAATAACACCAGTGTCGTAGTCTCGATGTAGTTCCTGTTCTTTCTCTTTTAAAAGCTACCTTTCTTTTCTTTTCTTTTTTTCAAAGAGCTTTAGAATTTGCCGCTTTTTAAAGACTAGGAATTAAGACATGCCCTGACCAGGCGATTATTGATATCTTTAATTGCTCCTTCTTAATTATGCCCTTGAAATAATGGCACAGTTCCCATACTCTTTTTTAAAAGCTATCTTTCTTTTCTATTCACATTTAAGACAGCTATGAAATATGCTGCTTTTTAAAAGAATGTGCAAACTGGGAAAATTCTTTACAGAGATCACATGACTGTGAACCACCAATGGCCAATTAAAGCCATATGTCACTGAGGGGTGGGGCTTAGCAAATAGTTTGACGTCATCAAAAATGTAATTATGAGCCAGAGCAATATAACACTGAGTTCCCATAGGAAATCTATTTATTCAGCGAATACTACACATATTTCATTGGTTTTCGACATATGAACACTATTTTTGATGCTCTTTCGGAAAATGAAGAAAAAATTGAGAAATTCCAAAAATAGATTTTCATCATGTCAGAGCTTCGGTACTCTATAAAAGAGCTGACCAAAATAAGCACTCGCAAAAACTGCCTTTTCGACCCTTTCCTGCTTTCCTCTCACTGGAATTTTTTTTCAGAACATTCATGAAACATTGAACATATGAAGAATTAAAAATAAATTTGTTAACAAATTTTGATTTTTTTTTTTTCTTTCTTTTTTCTTTTTTCTTTTTTTTCTTCCTTACATTCCCCCCTATTTTTTCAAGTTTTGTTGTGATGGTTCACATATGTACCAGAAGAAGTAAATGATATATAAGGAGGGGCAACTCCAGGGTTTGGTAAACGTGGGGCTCTATATAATATCCCCAAAATTTCTAACAAAATATGTTTGTCAAAATTCCCCAACAAAACCTCAGACAAGTATAAAAAAAACATTATATAAAAAATAAGGAATTAAGATGGGGTCCAATTCACAAATACCTACATTTATGACAAGCCAAACAAATATATCTCGCTGACAGAAAGGATTTGGGGGTTGGAGTCTCGAAACAATACTGTGGTATTAAAGACTAATCATAATATTTCATATTGCTCCATTACATGGTCGTATGGGTTTTCACAACCTTTCGTTTTCTCTCTCTCTGTTTCATTACTATTCCAGGTACTACTGGCAACCAGCCGCCTCAACTCTTCAACTGCCCGCAGGTTATAACTCGAGACTTGCCATCTACCTCAAATCAAGTGTCTGTTTTCTGGACAGCACCAACTGCAACTGATGATTTTGACACACCAACTGTGACTCCTTCGATTCAACCTGGCAGTTCATTTCAGGCTGGTTCAACCCCAGTTACATACACAGCAACAGACTCAGCTGGCCTCTCAACTACCTGTTCCTTTTCTGTCATAGTTATAGGTATGATGGTTAATGTGTGAGGATGTACTTTGAAACCTGTATATAAAGACCACTCAGGGGAGACATGGAAATTGGTCTTTATAGGAAGGTGGTCTTGATGTTCAGGTTGATTTAGTACAATGACAAACCCTATTTAACAAATGCTTCAAAATTATTGCAATGGTGTGAAATTTTGAATGCAGAGTGTATAATATCTTTTTTATAGCATGGCAGCCATGCTAAAGCCAGGGTAATAATCGGGAGCGCCAGGAGGTTCAGATCTGACTGACATGAGCGCTATACAAGAACCCACTATTATTATTATTATTTTAGTATAATGATATGTAATTATTAAAAGAAGAAAATGATGTATTATAATTTGTATGAAGGATTTTGAGCCAACAAGTAAATACATTATTAATCTCCTAGTTCATGCAAAAACGATCTAGATGACTGCATTTTTTAAACAACGCCTCATGGTTTGAGAAAAAGTATCCTGATTACCGGGCAACTTAAAACAATACCTCTCGGTTGTCAAAGAGTATCCGGATGACTATGCAGTATTGTTCCTATATCTCATGGTTTGGGGTTTGCAAACGAGTACAGAACTGAAAACACATATCCATATGCAAAGGCTTAGACGGTGGATGTACATGTGCAGCACTTGCCAAAATACTTGAGAAGGGACATAAGATATATAATACTCTTTGATTTATCTGCAAGTTCATAAAACACAAGGATGTAATGTTAAAAAGATGATGTACTAGGGTTCATATAAATAATAATATAATAATAATATTGAATAAATTTTCTTTCTTGGGATACACATCACACTTGCTTTGAAAATACTTCACTTGTGCCGACTCGTAAAATATTTTAATCAGATAATGTAATACACCCTTGCATTCCACTCAAGGGTATTCAATATTTTATTAATCTCATTTAATGGACAATTGATAGCCATAATAATTATTCCCTATTTGAATGGCAAATTAATGAATATACATGTAGAACATTTTATAGTGTAATATTTGTGAGCCTTTGTTTTCATATTACGCAGAACAAGAAATAAAGAAAAACAGTACTAAAACACTGCATTTTTGTTCTTCTGAAGTATGATACCCAAGAAATTGACGAAAAATTGATGTATTTCCTTGGAAATGAAGTTTAATGATGTACCATAAATCAGAATATTATTTTTTAATTGATTTTGAAAATTTCTCAATCTATTTACTCCAGAAAGTACATGTTCAATTCATTGGCCCCTTAAAGGGGAATTAACCTCTTGACTATGATGCATTATCATGACAGAGTACAACAACGTTTCATTTGATATAAAAAGCATTGCTGTATGCCAAATGCGCCATATTTATGACGTCGTCTACTCCCCAAGGAATTTCCCTTCTAAACTTCTGGGTTGTGACGTATCGCAAGGAGAGCAGCACGCTTGCTATAAGCACGTCAAACATGGTGTACTGCCAAGTGTTTGGTTGTAATTATTGTTCCTCAAAAACCAAGGGGAAATCGTGTCATCGGTTTCATGACCGACATAATTGCGATGAAATTTTCAAGCTATACGTAGCAGCTCTGAAGGTGCAGAAATTTCTGGACAAAAAGTTCTAGTACAACAGGAAAAACTATTCACAGGATTCTGAAGAAGAGTTACGTCCTCCCTTTCGTCAAATGTATGATTTTTCAGTTTTGAATGGCCTACAAACTGAAATTAACATGTAGTTGAGGTTAATTTCCCTTTAACACTGCAGTTGCTTTCTTCGCCTCTCCATGGTGCACTCCTCTGCAAGACGTGCAACTTTGCACAGCATAATATATTTGCAAAATTACCCATTTCTGGTCTTAATGAGCTCCTCCATGACAACACTGATTGAAAGATTGATAGATTGATCTTGAAGCCTTTGGTATATCTATCCCATAAATAATACAATGTGGCACAGGGAGATTATATGTGTATATGTGTTCTCTATAAAGAGTTGATTTACCATGCAAGTGAGTATTGCATGTATGAGATCTTTCTGTGGCTGTTTGTTTATATCATCCTTTTTCTCCATGAATGTATAAACACAGATGTAACAGACCCAATGTTGGTGGGATGTCCATCTGGGGCTACAGGAATGCTTCTCCCTGGACAAAGCCAAACTACAGTAACTTGGAATCCGCCCACTTCGTCGGACAACTCTGGACAATCCACACAGACCTCTACTTATAGCCCCCCTGCTTCCTTTCCGTTTGGAAACACTCAAGTCACGTATACTGTGACTGATGATGCAGGGAATTCTGCTATGTGTACTTTCACTGTCACAGTTACCTCTCAAAGCACAGGTAGGTGTATTCATGGAAAAGATTGAAATAATTCTGATTTTGATTGTTTAATAGTCTTTTTAACAATATGTTGATTTGCCATTACCATTTTGCAATTGATTGGAAAATTTTTTGTTACAGGGCCCAAAAAAAGGAGTATTGATGAATGATTCAAGGACAGATGATTGGTTACATTTATATTCAATCATGTTAATATTAACATCATCACCTGCAAGTCTATGTAATTCTACTGTATCTATACAGTCCTGCTGTCAGGGAAAACCTTTTCTGTTAATAATTTTTCTCAAAAGTGTGAGCAGTATAGCCCTCATGGGCACCACCATGGATTTGCTTCTGGTTTATAAATATACATGTGTACATAATCAGTGATATTTTAAGTGAATTCGCTCTCTATAGGGTTAGCCCTATCACCATCACACAGAACATGGAATAATTTATCTATTTTCCTTCAATTTGTTTTACATAGACACAACTCCACCAGAAATCGTTTGTCCTGGCAACCAGGAGGTATTAGCACCAAACGGCCAAAGTGTTTTGGTGAATTGGAACCAACCAACACCTAATGAGCAGGCTACATTAGTAGCAAGCAGGACTTCCAACACACCCTTTAATGTTGGAAGATATGCTGTAGTGTACACGGCGACCGATCCATCTGGCAATGTTGGACAGTGCTCCTTCTATGTCACTGTGACAGGTAAAGATTAAGAATATAGTGTTACTTGATTTTTATGCCTCCGCAACGTAGTAGCCGGAGACATGTTTTCGGGTTGTCCGACTGTCCGTATGTTCCGTTCTTATCATTGCGTTATGTCAAGAACAAATTGATGCATTCCCATCAAATTCAAGACATATATGTATCTTGTAGAGCCAATGAACTGATTAGGTTTTGGGGTCACTAGGTCCAGGTTCATGGGGCTTATTATTAGTGCTGTAGCCGAACCGCTGAACATGGCACTTCTGAACCGAGCCGAACCGAGCCGAACCGAACCAAACCGAACGCAAAGGCCTGGTTCGGATGTTTGGCAAAAAAATATTTAAAAGTTTTTGCAAGCTAATTAACTTGTCACTTTGTACCTAATTTTCATGTCATGATTGCTCATTCTATATTTACCTTTTTCTGATTTTCCATCTTTGTGATTTATGCCTCTCAAGTGGTTGGCGCGACTTCACTGATGCAATTTAAATCCCAAATCCTGACCTCTGCAACGTCCCGATCGCAAGCTATAAACAAGAATACACGTGCGTACTAGGTGCTGATTAAAACAAGTTTGCCTCAAACCCAATCAATAAAATAATTAATATTTTAATTGTAACAATATCGAACAAATTTTACAATATAAATAATGAAATAAATGTATATTATAGGATTTTTATTTATGTATTCAAGAAAATAAGGTACTTTGTTTTTTACCTTATTAAAATTAAACATTTAAAAGAACAGAAAACGAACGAGCCTGGGCGTATATCCAAAATGGCAGCTTCCATGAGTCGTAACATATTAGACAAAAACCGTCTCAACAAATCTTTAAAAAATATCATTTATTGTCAAATTGAAAAAATGCTTCTTGTAAAATTGCAAATAAAACACAATTGAAGACGGAAATATGAATGTAAGTACTACTTTTCTTCACATATAGTTACGTTTAAAGCAGATTTTTTATGTGAAATTTGTGCCGAAGCAGTGTTTTTCATCAGGAGTGGTAGGCAGATGCAGAAGAAGCTCCATGCTGGTCGGCCCGCCAGGCCTGGCCGCCCAGTGCCGCCTACCGTAGCTATATTAACGCTGCTTGATATTATATTACCGAACCCCGAACCGAACCAAGTTCGTGTAAAAAATTGCCGAACTCTGCCAAACCGAACATGGCGCCTGACTTACAGAACTACTTATTATGTATGCAAAGATAGCTTGTGATTCCATTATCATTAGAACCAACATAAGGATTACTATCAACTCTAGACATGTATATGCATCTTGCTGAACCAATGAACTTATTAGATTTTTGGGTCATGAGGTTAGAGATCAGAGGATCACACATGTTTGTGTAAAATAGCATGAAATCACAATATTCTGAGAACCTTTTAATGGATTACAATCAAACTTGAATTTTAAAAATTGCTTCTGTTTTGGTTTATAAAATCGCTCTATTGGCGGAGGCATCATTTTCGTCTGCGCGCTGTAGATGATCCATCTAGTTTGTCTTCTTCTTCTCCCCTTCCCTCCCTTCTTTGTTTTTGTTTTTTGATTGAATGATATACCACAATTAAAGGGTCAATGAATTAGAAGAAATAACATAGCTTCTCCAAGAATATTAGAAATAACGATAGGATAGCTGCTGGAATAATATGTGTGTACTTACCTATTGCATACAGGAATCGGGTGCCTCCTGCATTATGGCCCATCAGAATGAAAGTATTCAGTTTTCTGAAACTCAATGAATTTATTTAAGATAAATGCAATACAAAAGTCATTGTTCAAAGGGAAGTCCACCTAGTAAAAAGTGGTTTCGATAGGGCAAAATATGAGAAGAATATACCCCTGAAATTTTGAGGAAGATCGTTTAGGGTATAAATATATACAAATTTATGAATTTTGTTTTTTATAGGACTGGCAATTTCAATATGAGTAACTCTCTACTTGTGTATTGATAATCGTTAAAAAAAATAAAAAATTATTGCTGTTTGAAAAGATATATTTTACAAAGTAGGTGTGTAAAAATAATTGATAAAGATCCGGGGAACACATAAGAATGACATATTTTCCTTTGAAAAAATTAGAAAGTATTGAAATTATTTGTTAACAAACAATTGAGGGGTGCAGAGTTGTCAGTTTTCCTTTCTCAAATTTTCCTTTAAATTTGTATTGATTCTTTTTCTCTTAGTTTTCTCCTTTTTATTAAAACCAATCTCACATTAGAATGGAATTTCTTAAATTGTTGAAAAATGTATTTTATATTAATCCAAGGGTGAAATGGCTGAGTGTTGTGTTGGGTTTGTATACACATGTACATTGTACAAAACCAATTATTGTCATGTGTTGGACTAAAATCATAAAAAACAATGATAAATCTTTACTCTTGCTTTTTTTTCTCTTTCTGGTATGCAGCTAATGATGGAAGAGCACCTCCTGTCATTAATAATTGTCCGCAAGATGCCCAGACGATTGTTTACGAAACATATAATAGCGTTAACTGCAGCGCTCGATACACAGAGCCTTCTTCAATTCAGGCTGGAGTTGCAGTCACAGTCTCTCCTGCTAACAGCTCACCACTGAATAACTATGCAATCGGCGATTATCTGATTGTGTACTCATTCACCAACCAGCAGGGATATCAGACAGACTGTGCTATAGACCTTTCTGTTATACGTAAGTATGATATATCACTATGCCCCACCCTTTTATTATCAAGAGAAGGAACATGAAGCACCTATTCATGCTATTTTAATACATATACAGTCCCACTTGGTGAATCTCTAAAGACAGTGTCAATCTTATTTTAAAAATAAATATAATCATATCTGAAGAGGTGTTCCAAAATCAACTTCAAGAAATCACCAAGTCTCAACCTTATAATGTGCTAACTTTAATGTAAATCATATGTCTATTGTTATACATGGTACTCTCTTAAAAATATAATCTGATTTGCTATATTGAAAGGTAAAAGCAACAAAGCAAGGGATTGGACTTTTATTTAATCATGATTTATCATTACTATTCACAATGTCTGTTTAAAACACTTGCTGCACAATAAAGGATCAAAATGTGTCTCATGTGACCTAACTATAAAGGCTTTCAGGAAAACATTGCAATACCAGTCATTTTTTTTCCTCCTCCTGCTAAATGTTGTGCTACACCTAAACACCCTTCACCGATCGTATTTCTTCTTGCTATCCAGAGGGTGTTAACATTTGCCGATGTAACCCCTGTCCCGATCCGGCTTGCTACTTCAATCCAAATGATGATCAGGAGTTCTACTGTCCCAATGCACAGACACAAGGAAGAAGGAGTAAGAACAATACAATTCACATATTATAACAATATTTGTACCCAAATTCTTAGCCCAGGAACACTATAATGTTTTATTTCATTCTACTAAAAGTGTTTTTGTTGATTCAGAATGAAAATGCTTTAAGGCCATTGTCATCATAAATTAGATCATTATCCTTTATGCTATTTTACACATCAGCATACATGTATGCAACGTATTAGTATTCGTATCCAAAGTCACCTGATTTAAAAATGAAAAGAATGATTGTTTGGATCACTTCCTTTTGTCATCAAATTAGCAATGTTGTAGATATTTTTGGATCTTGTGTACATGTACATACACATATTTTCATGTTTTAGGAGAAAAGGCTACATGTATTTGTATTATGTTCTTTTTAAAGTTGTGCAAACATGTAATTATGATTAAATTTTTATTTTGAAGGTAATGCCAGGTTTTTTAGGCCTGCCAAAGATTATGTAATTTTATTTGGCATTTCACCCTTTTTTATGTGCTCTTCTTGATAGGTGTGAATGTGTATTCGTTTAATGTTGTGTTGAATTATTTTAGTTACCATCCTGGTTATCTTTCATTCTTGTGATGTAAATGTACAATTAATAATGTGAAGTCAAAGGATACTTGAAGATAGTTTACTTGATCTGTACTATTGTTTATTAGTAAAATAAATTATGCCTCATAGATACATTTCTTGTTTGGGCCCATAATTCAGGGGGATCAACCATAAGTTATTAAGACCGATGACTTTCTGCAACACACCACAATTTATAAGACTTGGGGAGTGTTTCACAAAGATCCTAAGTTGAACTTATCTCTAAGTTGGACAATTATGGAAAGCCCTTGGCATCTATGAAAATATTTTGTAAAAGTCATTTTAAAAGACATCAAATGTTGATTCAAATCTTTCGTATTTTCTATTATCAAGGATATTTTATGTTCTTGATGTTGAATGTATAAAAAGTACTTGAATTTTCGCTTTTGAATATATTAAAATTTTTAAGGCTACAAATGGCTCTCCAAAATGTTGAAGTCTAACAAAGAGTTAAGTTCGACTTTGGATCTTTGTGAAACACCCCTCTGGTCTGGTTTAGAGATTATGGGGGCAGCATAAATATTTCTTAAAATGGGAGGACTATGAAAATCCATACATATCCTAGCAAAAAATAGGGCATGATGACCAATTTATCTATTGATATTTGCAGTTTGCAATATTTTCTAAAATTGTCTATTTAATTCTCTACAGAAAAGAGGAAAGCACACTGGGAGGAAACTGGTAAGTATAACAATTTGCATTGATTAGATAATTTAAGTGTATCAATCACTGGAAAGTATTTTGCTTTGTATGTTTCATGTCGTTAAACAATATTCCCAAGATAAGCTTCACATACAGCTTCTACTATAAAGAGATTTGGCAAGTTTAAATAATGATAATAATAAGAGCTACATTTATATTTCATACATATCTGCCCCAGGGGATGCTCTGGGCACCTACAGAGTACTATTATTACCCTGGCTCAATAACCATAAAAACATGTTAATAAGATTCCAAAATGTGATGTGCGTAATGGCTATTTGGACCCTGCAGTTTACTGAAACAGTTTCCTCAGGCATGTGTGAATGATGCTTTACAAAAACTAGTTGCCAGCTTTAAGACAACAGACACAATTTAGTATTTATCTAGTCAATAAACAGGTCTTGTCAGATTTCTTGAGCATTGATTATACCATTGTCTTATCATCTATAGTCATATTGACAGTGGAGCGCGGCAGTGTAGTAGTGTTTTAAGCTCTGTCATTTATCTCCTCTGTCTGTCCTTCAGTTGAACACCAGCTTGAGTTCACCTGCGCATGTGAACATGGAGGACGCTGTTTGGAGACACCTGAGGGAGATGTGACCTGCCAATGCCGACCGGGATACTCAGGAATCCTCTGTCAACATGGTAAGAGTTTTTATCCACCTTCTAGATAAAGACATGAGAGCATCTGGCCTCAGCCAGGTAGATGCTGAAGACAAGAAGGCTTGGAGAAGAGCAATAAGTGAAAGAAACATTCAACCCAACATCATGGGGAAAATAGACACCAAATAATGGTGAAGATCATGATGATACTACCTCTCACTTACTCATACATTTCCATCATTTTCTCTCAATTTTATCTCACACGTTCCTAATGTACTTCCTACATTGGAAATGGCAAGTATTACTACTATTAGGTATTATAGTCATATTCAAGTCAAGTGTAAACCACAGACCTTAACCCTTTTGATATTGTATTTTGATCTTGCATCTAATAATGACTGCAAAGAATTCGATTTTCATCTTGAAATTCATATTGGTTCATAATTGTGAAATAATTGTATTATATTGACTGGGCTTGAGGGGTTTATTAGAAATTTTGACCAAACTAAGATCACATTGCCCAAAGTCGAAGACAAGGGCAATATGGTCTTAGCGCGGTCAATATTTTGTATGTACCCCAAAAGTAGCCCTGTCTATGTAATTAATATTACCTATAAGAGGCATTTTTTTACAAATGATATACAACTTTGGTATCAAGCATGATTTTTATTCACCATGTATGCATGTATTCCCCTTACTCTTGTCCAGAGATAAAAATGTATGAAAATGTAATTGTGTCATAAATTGTTGCCACGCGTACACTTTAACGCCTACACACTACTGTGTGTATGCACTTTAATAAAAGTGCACTGACAAGAAAGAGTGGAATATGTCAGAATGTTGCCCTCTAATTTAGTACAGTGGTTTATGGGGAAAATCTGGAAGAAGGCAATATGGCAAATGTTGCCCGCTCTGGTTTTGTATTTGGAGTAGCATGCAGAATATGTCTTTTTATTTTGCAGCTAAAATGCCTTGTATAGGTAATAATATATAATATAACAATATTGGATCAATATGAACAACAAAAGCTAAAGGGCACTTTGATGGGAAAGTTGTCTTGGGAAGTTATGTTTGATACCTGTTGTATAACTTGATGGCTTCGCAAGGGTTGAGGCACATTTTATCATGTTATTTCTTCTTCAGATGATATCCTGAAAGTTGATGTTCCACCTGCGTTGCTTGGTGAAGATGCCTGCTCCTCATCCCCTTGTCTTCATAATGGTACCTGTATAGTCCAGATCCAGGAACTTTACACCTGTTTCTGCCTATCAGACTGGACTGGGCAAAATTGCGAGTCATGTAAGTATACTGAAATTATTTCCACTTTTGAAAAGTTGAATCTATTGGTAAGCAAATTTTGAGATCTGTTAATAAAATTCCCACTCAGAGATTGAATGGCTCAAGTTCTGAACTTTTTACTTTTCTTTAGGTTGGCAAAACATATAAACTCGTTAAAACGTGCTGAAAACAGATGGTGAAAAGGACAACTGACATATCTGCATGCAGTTTCCATGCTCATTACCGGTACTCACATGCATTTATTGCATATTTCTACCAAGATTATTTGGCAGATATCATTTAGTATTAGTGTTGAAACCTTGGTAAGAGTAGGTTTTTAATACTGGAAAACCCTCCTGCTTGAGAAATATTTATCTTCCTTATTCTTACTTTCTGCAGACTTTGAGGTACACCACAACTTTGGTGGACATCAGGACTTGGAAAGAGTTGAAGACAGGTCTGGCTTTATGAACTGGCCTACCTTAGCAGCAATGGGCCTGCTTGTCCTAGTAATCTTAATCCTCTCCATCACTATCTGTAGGATTATGCCCCGCATATCTGGTAGGACCAAGACCCGCCCAGATGAAGTAGCATTTGTCAACTAAATGCACACAACCATACTTGTACATGTTTAGTTTAAACACTCCCAAAAGGAGTTTAAATGAGGTTAACATTGCAAGATTTGTACTTATGGCAGCATAATATTTGGCATTGTGCTGAAGACCAGGGTACTGTAATTTGTTTTTCTGAATGAAAGAAAGTATTTACCGGTGATATGATATATACTAGCAATGATATGATGTGTAGAATCACCATTAAAATAACCAATGTCAAAGAACTGCATATCATTTAAATATATTAATCTAATAACTAACCATTAAGTTGGTACCCCCACTTATTGGAGCGACATATGTTTGTATGTATAATTAAACAATTCAATGTTATTTTAGCAATCATGCATCTATCTTACTCTTCCATATCGTAATTCTGTACAGGCTACAAGAATGTCAGATTGGAGCTCTATTTGTTTCAAATTGTTCTGTACATTCTTGGCTTGAAATAGAAATAGTGGTGTACTGAATGATGCAGAATAAATATTTGGTATTATATCTATTATATTACATTACTCAGAACATATTTTACATCTTCAAATGTTCTCATTAAATTTATCATGTTGTTTTGCTCATACATGTACGTGTATATTGTACTAATTGCCTTTATTTTTAATCCAAGCTGTTAGATTTTTTGATGGGAAGAAATGATTACTCAATATCAATCATGCCATTTCTTTTTGTATCATATTTGTATCGTGGTAGAGGGATTTTCTTATTTTAATTCATGTTTAGCTATCACAAGAATATTCTGTACGGGACTCTCTTTCTGATAATGATAACTAACAATCACATGCTGATTGCAAATCCTGAATAGAGTTTGTCAATATGAACCTTAATGTTTTGTGTTTTGTAGTCGCACTTGCTTTAGACTTTGATGTAAGCAATAGCTGGTCTCTGTGCTTTTTATCAAAATTAAATCATGTGTTTAACTGACAATTTCAGATGTTTACTTTTCTGATTTGTCGATTTATAAATGTGATTTAATGCAGCACATGAGGAACCAGAGTTTTGTAGAAATTCAACAGACAACTTATATTCTGTATTCATGGTCTTTCATATTTGCATGGCAACGTGTTGCTCTTTTGTCTTTCTTTTAATGCAGTTGGTAAATGTATTCTTTCAGATTAATAGAAATATTCTCTATTTTAGATGGTGTTTTATGTTATATATATGTATGTCCAGAAGAGAATGAAGAATTGCTATACTCTTTGTTTCACATTATCAATTGTGAGAATCAGTGTCTTTCCATTGCACATTATATTCAGGTTACCAATTATAGGTACGTATAGCTTTTTTTTGTTTATTTAGAACATTATTATTCTTGATTTGTCTTAATGTTACAAATTGTTGAGTAAATTTGTTTACATATTGAACCAGGTGTATAAAGAGACACGTGTAACATGAAAATAGAATACTATTCACTAGTTATGGTATCTTTATGATAAGCATTCATTCCCAATTTTATGCAAGTATTTTCTGAAATTACAAGGACACTCACAATTAACAATTTTTTTGTCTTCCATTTTCATTTCATGCACTTTTTGATAAATACTGTAATGGTGGAGAATACATTTTAAACCTGTCTTTTATTGGTTTCTAATAAAGCAGTGCTGCTTTGGAAGCGATATCTAAGGATATTTTGTTCTTTCTTCTATGTCAAAGTGTATGTACTATATTCTCATGATGCTTTTCATGTATGCAACACATAGTTGATTGTTGTTATTGTTTACATATATATATATATATATATATATATAATATATATATGTTAAAGTGACTCTGTAACATTGTTAAAGGTTGGTGAAAAAACTGTGTAATTTTGGTAAAAAATGTTACTACTATATTCCTTCTACTGTTCTAACCCTCTGAACATGCAAACAAATATTTAGGGTTTTCTTTAAAGGCGTCACTGTTCAAAACCCTGTAACAGTAAATTCCCCAACCAATTTTTGAATATTCCCGACCGTTTTTTCATGAAAATAATACCTTAAACAGACTTTAAAAAAAAAAATTAACTTTTAAATGTTTGGAAAGGTACAAGAGCCAATTCATTGCCTTGTGGTGATTTACGTCGGCCTAAAATGTAATTAGAATATAATGAAATAGGAGAATTAAGGTTCGGTCATATCAGTTTTTCCCAAGTTTTATCATTAACAATGGTCCGTTTTCACTCAAACTTTCAGATTATCTTTTTATTGTACATTTAGCATTGAAGTCACTGCCTTAGCACCATTTTCTCTAATCTAAAAAAAGATACCAATTCCGTTTAACATTTTGCTTCCATGCACACAAACTTTGTATGATGATTTCGCATTGTTTTAATGAATGGCTATATGTTGTAGAAGTATGGTAGCATGATCCAACAAATAACGAAATCATCTTGCCACCACCCTAGCAATGAGTATGCGTAAAGATCTTTTCTCAAATATATGATTTCTCATTTCATTATATCTCGAAGATAAGAGTAATAATGTTTAAACCTAAATATTGTAATCTTAACAACTGGATGTTTTGTAACGGCTAAGGTGAATAGACCGATGGAGTTACTCCACATGATCAGTGGCAGTGGCGGATCTAAGGGGGGCCCCCTCCCCTTGCCCCCCAAAAACTTCACCTTTGTTGAAGAAAAAAATGAAGACGGATCCCCTCCCCCTAGCTCAAAGGGGAGGGGGGGGGGGTTGTTAAATATTTTCTCACGAATTGGTAAGAATACAAAATAAGCCATACAAATGTGACATTTGTGCATTGCTTTTCTTTTGATGTTAATTTGTCACTTGATATACTTCGTTAGCAGATATCTCTCAATACACAGGTAACTATCCCCAGTGAAGGTGCATAATTTGTTACTTCTCTACTAAGCACAAGCTATATTATACACAGATCCTACATTACGTCAGCTCATATGCAGTGCATGAAATCTCCAATGTCCACAGACATTATTTGGTTGAAGCATTTCAAGGTTTATTCAAATATATCTTCGCAGCCGTTGATGGCTGAATTGCGATACAGTTTAATTAAAAACATGCAAAATTACAAATATACATATCAATTACAATGAACATAGATTGGCATGAATTAAAAATTAAATATAAAATATAGAAAAAGAAAACCAAAGAGTTCAAATGTGAGTTTCAGACAAAATGGGTCGTTCAAATTAAATCAGGAGTATAGTGATTATTCAAAACCAGAGTAAACATCTGAAGACAAGACGAGAAATTACAAAAGATTATATTCAATTCAAATGAGGTTTTATTCGAGACTTGTCAAAATGTCCAAAGACTAAAAATGCAAGTTTACATCAAACATACAATCATATAAAAAAAACATTCTAAAACATATTATAGTATTAATGACTGCTTTGAGAGAAATAGTTGTTTTTATACGCTCTCGGGAAGGTTAGAATTGTGCTATTGCCCGAGGCGTGTTCTAACCTTCCCGAGATCGTATAAAAACAACTATTTCTCGAATATTAAAGCAGTCATTAATACTTTTATATGCCGAAAACAAAAGAGTCAACTAATGACACCACCTTGGCCTTTCTCTAGTTTATCTGCACAGTTGTTTTTTATGAGTGTATCTTTGAGAGTAGACTAGATCTAGATTCTAGTCTAAGCAAGATATTTTTACAATTTTGGGGGTGGGCCGGCCCTGTGGGTAATATGGAGAAGAACCTGCGCTTTCATATGACACCTCACTTATTGAGTATCACCTTCAGGATCACAACAAATAAAGGTTTGAATCTCGAATTGAAAAAAAAAACTTGACTTTTTTTGCATGGTCGCGCAATGCACGTAGACTGCATAGCGACTGCATTGCGTGCAAACTCTATGAGAAGAATTTAAACACACAACATCGGGTGCGCGATCAGACACCCTGACAACTAGATCTATTTTCGTCTAGAGTCTACGTCTATGCTTTTTCAGCAACTAAACAAACATGTTTATGGATAATTTCACGTACCCTTTTTGTTGTTCTTGCTGTCAGCGAGTCTTGCATTTGATAAGTTGAAATCGCGGACATTCTGTCGGTATATCCCCGTGCTACGGGGACTTGCCGCGTTTTACGGGGACATGTATAGACTACGTCCCCGTAACACAATCCCTTTCTGACGGCTCCAATTCTTGTATTTATTGATTGCCCTTTTATACCAAGTTAGCAAGAGTAAATTGTAATTTAAATCCGCTGTCAATTTTACTGGAAAAGCATTTTCCTGTTTTTAAATGAAGTTTACAAAATAGTATTGATCTTCCCAAAGATCATGACGGACCCTCGATTTCAAAGGCAAAATGTCGCCAACTTGCGTTGAATTGTGAACAATCTAGGGTTAGAGCTAGCTCGGTATCATTTCGTCTATTGATTTTCGCCCGGGCGACCAGGATATCCGACTGCGATGCGCGCCATATCTCTACCGGCCCGGGCTAGCTAGCTGGTCGACTCGCGGCTCGTGACGTTAGCTAGCTACCGGACGCCGAACGGTGTATGCATGCAAATTTTTGCAGGATCGACATAATTGCTGTCGATGTCGAAGCAGTTTGCTCGACGAGCAGGACGAAGTCTGGTTTGTACTTTCTCGTGTGTTGTTAGTTTAATCATGGACTAGGATAACTTCGAACTACAAATCTATCGTTAAAAAATAACAATTAGGCCTAACATGGCCTCTTTTATTTTGCCTTTGCCTTTAGTCTACTACTTTAGGCCCTGGGGTGGTATTCTGAACATTGTTGTAAGTTTTGTGTTATCTTTTGTTGTATCTCACAGAGATAACACAGCGCTAATATTGTTGTAAGTTGGTATTCTGAACATCATTTTATCCCTGTGTTATCTCTTGAAGGACCGCCTCTATCTTATCTTTGACCACTGATGACACGCCCATTTGTATGGACCCTACCAATCAAAATCTGTTTTATATAAGCATGGTAAGTAGGTCAACCAATAGGAATACTTTATGCCATATCTGAAGATGCACCTAGCGCATACTAATCTTGGGCGTAATTAGTTATTTGAGCGCTTATTACGCGCGTCATCATTATGCGCTGTTGAATGTGGATCATGAAGACAAATCACGCTTTCACTATATTGGTTAAGATGAGAGCATTAAAATCGTCATATCCTAGCATGTAATTTCTTAGAAAGTTCTCATCTGTGATGTTTCCGGTCAACACAAAATCTTCTTCTAACTCGTCTATTGACACGAAGTTGGTTCTTGGCAAGAAATAGTGCCGCCATTATGTCACCACGAAAGATACAACAACCCCCTACCTGTTGTAAATATTGTTGTAAATACCATGCAAGATAAGATAAGATAAAAGATACAACAACTTTCAGAATACCAATTATCTCGACATATGATGTGCAGAGGGAGGACATTTCTGATCGGCTTTGAATTTACTAAATTGTTGTTATTGCTGATAATGATTCTTAGAATGGCCCTGGAATAGTGGCTGCCAGGCAGTCAAATAAAACAGACTTACAAACAAGTATAAATACACTACTATTAACAAGAAAGACAACAAAACAATTGATATCTCCAATACATTCCATAAGGGGGAGAGGGGTATAGTTACCCCACTGCATGTCCCTATGCAAGAATTAGCTTAATTGCTATTTGAGTTAGATGGAAATTTTGTGAATCTACTCAGGGGAATAATCTCAAAATCAATGCAATGTTGTAACCACTTCACTTTGTGAACGACGTTCAAAGGGGGAGTTAATCGCTCGACGGAGAAAGTTGACCTTATTTTATACCGACCAACTATTTTAAGAGACATTTAAAGAATATTTTTAATTGGAGTACATTTGAGGAAGAATATTCTTTTCTGGAATATATCGATTTGTTATTTGCTAGTTAAATGAAACGGTAAACTGGTGAACATGCCTTAATACCCCGTTGATTACTTTGAAAGAAACCAGCTGGGCGGTATTCTGAACCCTGTGTTATCTCAAATGTTGTTGTATCTTTGAAGATAAGATCAAGTTGGTATTCTGAACACTGTTGTAACTTTTGTGTTATCTTTTGTTGTATCTTTTCTCTCATCTCATTGGCTGCGCCTGCGCTCAAAGTTTGGTGCGCTTGTAATTGTGCGTATTATTAATAAAGTGGCGTTTAATCCTCATTTGCATATGCGCACGAGAGATAATATGTCGAGATAATTGGTATTCTGAAAGTTGTTGTACCTTTTATCTTATCTTATCTTGCATGGTATTTACAACAATATTTACAACAGGTAAGGGGTTGTTGTATCTTTCGTTGTGATATAATGGCGGCAATATTTCTTGCCCAGAACCAACTTCGTGCCAGTGTTGACCGGAAACATCACAGATGAGAACTTTCTAAGAAATTACATGCTAGGATATGACGATTTTAATGCTCTCATCTTAACCAGTATTGGGAAAGCGTGATTTGTCTTCATAATCCACATTCAACAACACATAATGATGACGCGCGTAATACGCGCTCAAATAACTAATTACGCTCAAGATTAGTATGCGCTAGGCGCATCTTTAGATATGGCCTAAATCATTCCTATTGGTTGACCTACTTATAATGCTTATATAAAACAGATTTTGATTGGTAGGGTCCATACAAATGGGCGTGTCAATAGTGGTCAAAGATAAGATAGAGGCGGT